CCTCTACTCTGCTGTTTAGACCTTCCAATGTGTTCTTTATTTCTGATATGTCATTCTTGATTTCTTCTTGGAGGTTTTTAATTTCCAACTGGTTGCTTTTCAACATCTCTATGTCCTTATTCATGCTGTTGAGCTTCTTCAAGATCATGGCTCTGAATTCTAGCTCTGTTAACTTGCTGAACTGCTCCACATTTATGTCATCTTCGGTAGAGGTCTCTTGTTCTTTCACTTGGCTTTTGTTTCTGTGTTTCACCATTCTGGCTATCACAGTGGGCTTTGGAGCCTGCCAAATTTTCCCTGTGGGTGTTGGTGTTCTGCTGTTTGTGGCTCCCTGTCCTGGGTTTGGATTAGCGAGGGAGGACCCACATTAAACACCACTGTCAAGTCTTACTTTTCTGGTTAGAGTTGCTAGCCCAGGAATGGTACAGTTATCCTCTAGCTTTTTGCCTGGAGGCTATCAGTAGTGGTTACTTGAAGAGCCTTGGGTGCTCAGTTGAATGAAAAACTCCCTCAGGTTCTCAGTGTTAGGGGATTTCCTGAGGGTGGGGCAGATGCTGGTTGTTAATGAGCCTCAATTTGCATTTCAATGGCCCACCTGGGTGGGGTTCAAACCCCAGAGCCTTGGGAAGGAGCAATATGGCCACTGTCCTGCATGGCTGCAACTCAGCAAAAGCTCTGAGCGCCCTCCATATCCTGAGTGTCTCCACACAGTTCCCGTCCAGTTCGCCCTCCCTCTGCCAGAGCCAAGGTGAGTGGCTGTGGTTATTTTAGTGTCTGTCCCGGCTCTGTGCTGTGGAGCCGCTTGGGAGTTTAACCTGAGGGTGCTGCTCGCAGCTAAGGCTGCTGCTATCTGTGGGCTCCCAGCCCCCCTCTCGTGCCTCCACAGTGCTACCAGGATCGAGTCAGTGTCCCTGGTTATATGATCCTCTCAAGCTGCTTTTCTGTTGCTTTTTCCCATCGATTTGTCTTTATTTTAGTTGTAATTCGAGTTTGGTCCTGGGAAGACGATCTGTGTAGTTTCCATTCACTCTGCTGCCATTTTGGAATCTCCTCACAATCAATTGTTTTGTAAGGAAATAAGAAAAGAGGAAAATAATTTTTTATGCTTACTTCATAGTTACCATTTGAGTTCTTTAATTGTTTCTGTAGATCTGAGTTTCTATCTGGTACCATTTCTGTTTATTCTGAGAACTTGATTTAGCATTTTGCTTTTAATGTTGGTCTGCTGACGATGACTCCTCAAAGCTTCATTTTTCTGAAACTCTTTATTCTATCTTCATTTTTGAAGGATCTTTTTGCTAGGTAGAGCATTCTAGATTGGACTTTTTTCTTTTAGCAATTCAAAATGTCATTTCATCAGCTTTCCTATATTTCTCATGAAAAGTCAGTTGTCATTCTTATTGTTGTTTCTTGTTATGTAATGACTCCTTCTCTTCTGCCTGTTTTTGTTTTTGCTTTTGGCTTTCAAAAATTTGACCCTGATATACCCATGAGGTTTGTTTGTTTTGTTTTTTTTCAATCCTTACCCAAGGATATGTTTTTATTGATTTTTAGAAAGAGAGAGAATTGGTTGTCTCCCATACATGCCTTGTCCAGGGATCAAACCCCACAACCTAGGTATGTGCCTTGACCAGGAATCAAACCTGCAACCTTTTGGTGTATGAGACAATGCTCCAACCAACTGAGCCACCCAACCAGGGCTACCCATGTATTTTTGTACTTTTCTTGTTTACAGTTCGTTGGGCTTCTTGGATCTGTAAATTGATGTTTCTTACTAAATTTTTCTGAATTTAATTTTTTATACTCTTGAACTACTTTTCGGCCCATTCTTTCTCTTTCTGGGATTCCAATTACATGTACGTTATACTGCCTGATATTATTCCACAGGGCCCAAATGCTGTGTTTGTTTATTTTTCAATCCCCCACCCCTTCACTTTGGGTAATTTATATTGCCCTGGTCTCAAGTTTAATGTTTTTTTTTTAATTTAATTTAATTTAATTAATTAATTAATTTATTTATTTATTTATTTATTTATGTGCGTGCCCCTAGTGGGAACTGAACCCGAGACTCTCTGGTTCACAGGCCGACGCTCCAAATGCTGAGCCAAACAGGCCAGGGTTCAAGTTCACTCTTTATTTTCTTATTGTACATTTTCCATCTGATTCTACCTCAGAGTTTCTATTTTTCTCTTAAAACTCCATCTCTTCACTCATTATAAAATTATGTTTTTCCTTAGGATATGTTAAAGCAAAGAAAGGAAGAACAAAGCTTTCCATGTTTAAATAAACAAAATCTCTTGTCCCCCTCAAAAAATGTTCATCGTCTCATGTCTCACCACTCTGTCCCACCCGCCCCACCTGACATCATTCCACCCCAGCTGGGGTTAGAGCAGTTCCTCTGGGTACTTTCCCGCTGAGGCTTTCCACACGTGCCGTTTCCTGTGCCTGCGTGTCTGCCCAGCTCTTCACCTGGTGCCTCTGCTCATTTCACAGCTTTTAGCTTTTTCCTTTCATAAACTTTCATAGCAGACTATACTTTGTATTCACTGCACTTATCAAAAGTAATTATTCGGATGATTTCTGTTCAATTGCCAAGTCCGTGAGGGCATGTATGTTGCCTTCACGTAGTGTCTTTCACACCATCAAGGCACTCAGTCAATATTTACTACGTGGATACTTGGAATTCTATTTGATTGTATATTCCTGCACAGCAGTGATCTTCATGACCTTGGATTTGGCAATGGTTTTCTTAGCTGTGAAACCAGAAGCACAAGCACCTGGAGGAAAAATAGATAAATTGGATTCATCAAAATAAATAACTTTTGTGCTTCAAAGGACACAATCAAAAAGTGAAAAGCAACCATAGAGAGGTAAAAAATATTTGCAAATAATGTATCTGGTAAAGGCCCAGTAGACAGAATAGATAAAGACTGTTACAACTCAATAATAAAAAGACAAATAATCCAATTAAAATGGGCAAAGGATTTAAGTAGATATTTCTGCAAGGAAGATACACAAATGGCCAGTAAGTCCACAAACAGATGCTCAACATCATTAGTCTCCAAGGGAATACAAATGAAAATCAGAGTGAGTTGCCACTTCACCAGGATGGTTAGAATAAAAAAAGTCAGACAATGCACGTGTGGACAAGGATATGAAGAAATCAGAATCCTTGTACATAGCTAACAAGAATGTAAAATGGTGCAGTCACCTTGCAAAACAGTCTGCCAATTCTTCAGATAGTAAAACACAGAGTGACCATGTGACCCAGCCTTTCCACTCCTAGGCATAGACCCAAGAGACAAGAGCAAATCTCTAGTGACAAACCTTCCCCTTACGGTTTGCTTTGTCACATGTCTCCAGAAGAGGTCATTGTCTCTGGTGCCATGCCAGATTGGTGAGGACAGTACCTTAAGAGTATTTTATGTAAGTTACAAAGTACTTGGATTTTATAATATTTTTTTAAAGTTTCTTTATTGTTGAAAGAATTATAGGTGTCCCTCCTTTTATCCCCCATTGACCCCCTCTTCATACTTTTTGAGGTAGTTAGATCAGTATTATTATTTGTCTCTATTTTACAGATGAGGAAAATGAAACCTAGAGTGAGAGAAGGTATCTTCCCTGAGGTCATACCACTAGTTAGTGACAGGAATCATATAAGGAGTTGGCAGTTATCACAAAACAGTTTTTGATATTTTAATACTGAATTGTATTTTTACATTATTTTAAGTATTTTTATGTGGGCATACCTTCACCTTAAGGGGCAGTTTATTTTTCCCTGGCTTGTGAACAACCTTGTTTGTTTCCATATTTTGGGCATTTTTATTTTATGTGCTTTGACTTCGTGCTGTAGGAATTTTTTTTTTAATCCTCACCCGAATTACGGGGCGGGGGGTGGACTTCGACGTGAGAGAGACACATCGATTGGTTGCCTCCCACATGACCCTGACCAGGGACTGAACCACAACTGAGGTACGTGCCCTTGCCTGGAATCGAACCTACGACCCTTTGATCCACAGGCCGACGCTTTACCATTGAGCCAAACCGATCAGGGCCATGCTGTAGGATTTAGTGTTTCCAGGTAACTAGCTGTTGGCCCTCTCTCTAGCACCCCTGTGTGCGAGTCTGCAAGCTCTGCCAAAGAAGAACCTTTGCAGAGTGCAAACACATGGCATACTCCATTCTGAATTGTTTTTCAACATTTTATCATGAAAGTTTTCAGTCAACAAAGTTTAAAGAATTTTACGGTGAATACCTAAATTCCCACCACTTCTTTCATGAATAGTTTACTGTACTTGCTTTGTGATCTGTTCCCGTGTCTTTCCATCTATCTATCTATCTATCTATCTATCTATCTATCTATCTATACTTTGAGATATTATTTGACATACAGTGAACCACACAAATCTTAACTGGATTACTTACTGAGTTTTGACAAGTACATACACCTGTATAATCCAAACCCCTATTGTGATATATCACCTCAGAAACTCCCCTCATACCCTTCCTCAGACAGTCCTTCAACACAGTTCTGAGTCCTTTCCACTGTAGATTAGTTGTGCCTATTTGGTAACTTCATGTAAATAGACCCCCCCAGTATACGCTCTGTGTCCTACTCTTCTTGAGATTCATCTGTGTTGTGCATTTTAGTAGTTCATTTTATTGTAATGATGAGAGGAAATACATTTTTTATTTTCAAAAATGCTTTATAACAATTAGCTTTTACATAATATTGCTGCAAACCAAGCAGTTTTCAACTGCTATAACAGGGGAGTGTATTGCCCAAATATTTAACTGGGGTTATAATTTCTAGTTTGGACTCTTCAATTTTACCTATTAGATAAGACAGCCTCTTTCATAATGTTACTTTACTTCATGAATATGATTAAAGCTGTGAGATTTTATCTCAAGATATTAATTTGTTAAGGCAGTTTATTTTGTGATCTATAAATAAAATTCTTATTTCCTATGTAACTTTATAAAAATTATCTTTTTCATAGTCGTGCTGGTATAGAGGATTCTAAGAAGTGGGGGATGCTGTTTCTGGTGAATCAGTTATTTAAGATTTACTTTAAGGTATGCTTCTGTTTGAATGCTTTATATATATATCTTTATACATGTTCTTTCTTCCTGTCTTCCCAGATACTATTTTTATTAATTATTAACTTGGGAATTGGTCATCACCTAGTAGTATTTATAATCCTAAGAGCTAATGTTCGTTAAGTCCTACTTAGTGCAAGGTACTATTGTAAGTAGTGTTGTCTTGTTTAATTAATCCTCAGCCCTATGAGGTAAGTGCTGTTAACTCCAGGGGAAAGTAAGGTGCCTGCACTGCATATAAAACAGTGGGCCCGTGTGGTGAACTGAGCTTTAAGTGAGGAGTTTCACTCCAGAGACTTTTGCCTGCTGCCATAATAATTAACTGTGGAACAGATGGGCATGTGGTTGGGTGAAGAAATCATTCTTTGGTATGTGACGTTGGCCAGGTGGAGAGCAGCTATGTCACAGACCAACAGCTGGCACCTGGCCCCTCTGGGTGGGCCTTCCATTCAGGGGAACATCTGCCCTGGAAGCAGCTCTGTCTGATGCGATTCTGAGGGCTTTCTAAAGTGCATGTCATCTGTGCCATACAGTTTGTTTTGATTTTAGTATTAAATAGTCAACTTTGATGATGTAATGGGCTTTGTAATTCCCAGTTTAAGGGTACATATGCTTAGTAAAGTAGAAGTTTAAGTTTGTCCTGCCTGTTTTTTTAAATAACATTTTAAGTGGATTGTAATTTGCTGTAGATCAACAAACTCCATTTGTGTAAACCTCTTATCAGAGCTATCGACAGCTCAAACCTGAAAGATGATTATAGTACAGCACAGAGGGTGACATACAGATACTATGTTGGACGAAAGGCCATGTTTGATAGTGACTTTAAGCAAGGTATGTTATTAGTCCTTTTATCCAGTATTTTAAAACCATTGCATTCTGAACAACTCTCTGTTAACAGTTTCAGAGAACATAATTACTGCATTTTATTATTACTTAAGGTAGAAAATAGGTGTAAACCAAGTTCAAGTTACATTGTTTTTTATTTTCGACACTAAAGTTGGTTAAGTAAAGAGAAAATTGTATTTGAAGTTTCTTAATCCATACTGGGTCTCCAAAATACATGCAGACTGTTATCCTGGACATCTTTTCTTGAGAGGTAATTTAGCAGCAGTATTCTTGGCATTTAATATAAATAATTGTTTTCTCCCTTTGCCTGTGCTGATCATGTTGGCACAGGACGTGGAGACAAGGGCAGCACTCAGCCCGGCTGCCGACTTGCTGCTTAGAAATCACATGTGGAATGCCCAAGCTAGCACTGGGAATGTGTCCTTGGTGTCATCTTTGGTGTTTGTGGCTACAGGTGATGGTGACATTACCATATCAGAGTGGCGCTTTCATGAAATTACAATATTAGGTAGTTTATTTCATTAACTTTCTCAAGAACGCGATGCCAGCTTTTTCCTTTTTGAAACTTGATTAGCTGGCATGAGGTTGTTTTCTATGACCTTTTTTATTTATTTTTTATTTTTAAATGTTTTTATTGACTTCCGCCCCCTACTGGGGATCAAGCCCGCAGCTTGGGCATGTGCCCTGACCATGAATGGAACCGGGGCCTCTCAGTCCATGGGACAATGCTCCATCTGTGGAGCCATTCCAGCTGGGCCTTATGACCTCTTTTATCGTACTCAGACCAGACTTTTTAAACTCACTTCAACAAGTATTTGCATTTGAAACAACATAACTTCAGGCAATACAAGATACATAAAATCACTTTTCTCTCCATGTCTTATAGCCATGGATACACTAATAACATAGTAATTTCTCTGGTTTTTTATTCTATAGGCATATGCAGACCAATTTCCAATTTTCTTTCACAAACATTGTCATAGATCTAGGGCTTTTAAAGATGGGCTTTCCTTGTTTAATCTTCATCAATGCTTTTTTTCTTAAAATATGAAGCATAAGAGTAAAAGTTTTTAAATGACATTCTATTGAACTCTACTGAGGCATTAATTTGTTTTTCCTCTGACGGTTCATCGAGTAGTATTTTTGAATACCTAACATAGCAAGAAATGATTTATTAATATTAATGGTAGATATTTATTGTTTCTGAAAATTTTAGAGCCTTTGTGTAAGGGTAAATGGTAGAATAAGGAGCAGGGAGGAAACTTCGGTAGCATTGTATTGTATAGACATACAAAGGTGAGATGCTGTTGGTCTGACGTTTGCCCATGTCTCTGTAGCTGAAGAGTACCTGTCCTTTGCCTTTGAGCACTGTCATCGTTTGAGTCAGAAGAACAAAAGGATGATTTTGATTTATTTACTTCCAGTAAAAATGCTATTGGTAAGTGATTGTTATTTGGTTCTTATAGATCCTTTTGCTTTGAAGAAGTTTAAAGACTTTAAAATACAACAGATGGTATGTAGTTGATCACAGTCCGAGCTGCATATGAGCACACCCCAAAATAGAGGAAGAATAGATTTGCATGTAGCCTGAACCATGTGTTTTCATGATTGACACTTCCAGATTTTTCTTAATATATGTATGTGTGTGTGTGTGTATATATATATATATATTTTTTTTTTAATTGATTTTTTAGAGAGAGAGGAAAGGAGAGAGAGATAGAAACACCAATGTGAGAGAGAACTATTTATTGATCGGTTGCCTCCTGCACTGCCCCTACTAGGGATCAAGCCCACAACCTGGCCATGTGCCCTGACCAGGAATCCAACCGGGACCTCTCAGTCCATGGGATGACACTCAATCTACTGAACCACATCGGCCAGGCCCAGATCCTTCTTTAAAGGTTTTGTTTGTGTTTCCTTTCTCTTTCAAGTATCTAATTAAAAAATTTAACATAATGTAAAACAAAATAAGTTCATAGTATTTCTATTTCTCCTAAAAAAATCTACATTAATAGACATGAATTAGCCAAGAAAGAAAAATGTCATTCCAGCAAATCTGTAGGTGTCTTATTTGGTTACCAAAAGCTATTTTGATGCTTAAAAGGCAGTGACAAATAACCCGAGCAGTGTTGCACAGTAGTTGGAGCAGCATCCCATGGACTGAGAGGTCCTGGTTCGATTCCTGGTTGGGGCATAGGCCCAGGTTGTGGGCTTGTTCCCCCAGTGGGGAGCATGCAGGAGGCAGCCAGTCAATGTTTCTGTCGCACATTGATGTTTCTCTCTCTAAAAAATCAATAAAAACATTAAAATTTTTAAAAAGGCAGTGACGGATAACTAATTTGTAAATGGACTAAAACAGTCTCAAAGTGTTTTCTTTCCTCTCATGTAGATTTTTTGAAGTTATCAAAGCAATACACACATCTGGTTAAAACTCGCAGTTCAGGACAGCTGGTAATGGAGGAGCAGGTCGTGCGGTACACGCCTTCCCTGCTTCTAGCTCCACTTCACAGAAACAGCCGGTGTGATTTGTTTAGCTGGTTCTTCTAGGAGTTGTTTCTGGATTTCCAAATCTGAATTTAGAAATTTTTTCAGTTATCACTCCCCTCCTATGTTATAAAGGATAAGAGACATGGGAAGGTCAAGATCAAGGTCATATGTAACTGATTTCTGATTTCTAGACCAGCCTTTTCTGTTTTCTAGCATAATATAATGTTTTTAATTCTTGTTCAGCTACTTAAGAAATTCTAAGAAACAGGGTTTTTAAAAGTTAATTCCTTGATACAGATTTTATCAAAAACAATTCTGTTAAAAATGAAAGGGCTCTTATTCTGGAAAATTAATTCTTTGTCTTAGGGTCATATGCCAACCATTGAGCTTTTGAAAAAGTATCATCTCATGCAGTTTGCTGAAGTAACCAAAGCTGTAAGGTAGAATACTTTATCCTTTTCCATTTGAGATCTTTTAAAATATAAAATTAATAAAATTTCACACATGTGGGAGAACTAACTGCTTTTGTTGTGACCTTGTCTCACGTTCTGTTCTGTGACCGTGCCTGCTGCTCTTCCCCATCACCCAGTGAAGGCAATCTGCTGCTGCTGAACGAGGCTCTTGCGAAGCACGAGACCTTTTTTATTCGCTGTGGCATCTTCCTTATCCTTGAAAAGCTTAAGATTATCACCTACAGGAATCTTTTTAAGAAAGTGTAAGCAAAGAACTTTTAAAAATAAGTTTAAACTTTTAGTATGACTCATGCATTGTAGTTGTCAGGTTATGAAAACTGTTACAATAACAGGTGTTGTGTCTTCTGAGATGGGGATGTCTGTCTGTGTGAACGAGGTCCCATCGCTTTTTCATTAATTGTGTGGAATAAAATCAGATTTCCCCGGCCCACCCACTGCCTAGCAGGCCTTGGTGCTGCACAGGTGAGTGAGCAGAGGCTCACTTATGGGAGGAATAACTCGGGTTATGCATGATAAAAAAAACTTTGCAATAGATGTTTTTAAAAATTATTTTTCCTTTATTGATTTTAGAGAGGGAGGGAGGGAGAGAAAGAGAGATAGAAACATCAATGAAAGAACATTGATTGGCTGCCTCCTGCATGCTCCCCACTGGGGATCGGGCCCACAACCTGGGCAAGTGCCCTGACCAGGAATCAAATTGATGACCTCTTGGTGCATGGGTCGACGCTCAACCTCTGAGCCACACTGGCCAGGCTGCAATAGATATTTTAAAGTGCCAACCCTAAGAATAAAATATTTCATTTTATCACAGCGTTTGGGACTAATTGTTCATTTCCTTTATTCATAATCAGTTAAACCTCTCCCTGCCACTCCTATCAAAAAGTTGAATTCTTCTGCAGTTGTTTTTTCCATGTAACACTGGAAGTTGACTCATCCCCCAAGCCTGGTCCCAACAGGTTCTCAGTTAAACTTCAAACAAAGGCAGAATTTTTATAGCTGTAGGTAGTATATAAAGAATAGAAAGGACCATATTTCATCAAATCCATAAGACACTATCCATTTTAAGATTTCAGAGATGTTAAAATGTGAAAATACCTGCATCTTAGATTCAATGAAGTATTCAGTAAATATAAAAAACTATATTTGTACCATTGGCTTTTTTAAATTGAAAAATCAAAATTATATATAATAGCTCTTAATTTAGAGTGTATTTAATAGGTGGAAGATTTTTCTTTATTTCTTTTGAACAGTGGTTTATTAAAAGATGTATTTTCTACTGACTCAGTCAGTACATGTTTTTTTTAACCTTTGAAGTACATGTATCCTGTTGGTAACTACTATAAATCTCTGTTTCCCTCTTCCAGGTACTTGTTACTCAAAACACACCAATTATCTCTGGATGCTTTTCTAGTTGCCTTAAAATTTATGCAAGTGGAAGACGTGGACATCGATGAAGTCCAGTGTATTCTGGCCAACCTGATCTATATGGTGTGTGAGCTCCTTGGTTCAGTTTAGGACTTGGTCTAGAATGTGCAGCTTTGATGCTGTGTCGTTCAAGTTATTATCAGGCCTTTTGCTTTTGTGAAGGTATTTTCTGATAGAACTAATTTTGTCACAGGAAATACCATGCTAATCAAAGGGCTTTATAGGGGGTGTGGGTGGGTGGATATAATATGTTTCTCTGTTCTCCATATATGAGTTTATTCATTGTCCTCCCAATAACTTGAACTGTGACTGGGGAAGAATGCTTATGCCACGGGAATAAGTAACTCAGCATCAGTAGTGTGACTCAGAAACATAAGCCAACCCTCTGTTTTTCTCTTACAGGGTCACATTAAAGGCTATATATCACATCAGCATCAGAAGCTAGTTGTTAGCAAGCAAAACCCATTTCCTGCACTGTCTACAGTGTGTTGAAAAGGAATGTGTTCCTCTATTTACTGTACTAAGGAAATCAGTCCTTTGCCACGACGTTGTTTTCTGCAGCTGGAATCTCTTTGGGGCTCCTTTCCCAGGGACATTGAGACTGAGTTTGCCAGCACACACAGCCACCTTGACATTTCCTCATCACTCGTAACCAGAGTTCGCCTTGTGGGTCTTGGAATTCCTTTTTCAGACATTGCAGACCCCTCCTTTGACTCTGGAGTATTGGTGAAACTTCTGTGAAGGAGGCTCCGTCTCCTTTCCTCATAAAAATTATTCATAAATGCATCTTTGTAACTTTTTATATAATTCTTTCTATTAAAGAGGCATTCTGAATCCATACAAGTGACATATTATTTATTATATCCTATGGGAAACCAAATTTTGCTGAGACTTTAGATTCACTCTTTTTCCCCAAAAACTGTCCTTACTATTGGTTTGCATTAAATTAGCCTCTTTATTTTTGTCAAGGTCCTTTCAGAGAAATGGGCCAGTGCACCTGCAGATTGGCAAAAAAAAGTTAAATCTAGGGTTAAAGCATAATATCAGAAGTGAAGAAGATACATAGTGTGTTAAAACCTGTAATAGTTAAAAATCTGAATTGTGTATAAATTTTCTATATTTCACTCAAAAGAGTGTTTAGCCCTGGTCGGTTTTGCTCAGCGGTTAGAGCATTGGCCTGTGGACCAAAGGGTTGTGGGTTTGATTCTGGTTGAGGGCACATGCCTCAATGGTGGTCCAGTCCCCAGCACTGGTCAGGAGACATCCAATCAGTGTGGCTCTCTCACCTGAATGTTTCTTTCTCTCTCTCCCTCTCTCCCTCCATTCTGAAAATAAATAGAAAATATCCTTGGGTGAGAATTTAAAAAAACAAAAAATGTTTAAATCAATTCACATTTTTAATTCCTTGAAAAAAAATCCTCTCTACTCTGTGTAATGAGGCCCTGCCAGACCACTGTCACACTTTCTTATGTGTCTGGAGTTAGCTGTCCTCTCCTTGCCCATCTGCTGGTCTAACTGGTTGACAGAGCAGTTAGCCTGTTGAAGCTCTTTTATTACACTCAAGGAACCTGGTGAATTAGACATATTTTTTAATCCTCACCCAAGGATATTTTTCTATTTATTTATCTTCAGATAGAGTGGGAGGGAGAGAGAGAGAGAGAAACATCGATATGAGAGGGACACATTGACTGGCTGCCTCCCACATAATCCTGACCACAGCTGGGGACAAACCACAACCAAGGTACGTGCCCTTGGCCAGAATCGAACCTAAACTCATTGGTCTGCGGACCGACTCTACCACTGAGCCAAACTGGCCTAGGGTAGAACTAGAAATTATATGCACTTAATTGATGAGCAGTTTTGCTACTTCCTTAATTTAAGTAAGAGTTAAGAGGTTAACTTAAAAGTAAACATTTGTATCCATTGCTCTCACTTTTCATTTTGGCACAAACTCGGGCCTCCACATGTAGTTCCAGTCTGCAGGGAAGCAGTTTGGGCTGGACTCAAATTCTACCTTTCTACTGCGTGTTGAAGCCAGTCTTTGTGATGACAGTAGATAATCCCTATGATTCAACACTGTTCTAATTTCTAACTCAGCCCTGTTTTGGTAGATGCTGTTGTTATTTCATTTAGAGCCCAGGAGGGGCTTGAAGGTGTTAAATAACAGCTAGCGGTTTCAGAAGCAGCGTGGAGAGGCTGAGCACTGGCTCTGATCAGCAGCTTCCTGGAACCTGTTTGGGAGGTGTCCCTCCACGGAAAGTGCCTTTCCGAGCACATGGCCCTGTTTGAAGGCCCCCTGTTGTCTGTATGTCAACCTTATGCTTCCTAATCCTGTCTCTCAAACTATATAACGTTTCTGTAAGTGTTACTGTATTCTCCTTTGCTGACTCTTCTAGTTGCTTCTTCCAACACCGAGCACACGGGCGATTGCCAAACCTGGCATAACTATGAGATCACTTTTTGTCTATAACTAGCAATTCTTAGACTTTCATCCCAAAGGCTTAGTAATAAGCATGTGTTGTTAGACTAAACTGTGTCCATTGATTGGTAGCATCAAAAAGCATTAGATTTGGAAAAGGGAGGAATTTAAGAAACTAGGCTGTTACAACTGACAGGATTTTATTTAATGTATCTCCCATTCTCTTAAGGTCTCTGTTTAAATAAAGAGTCCCAGGGACAGAACTTTTCACAGTACTCAGTAATGAGCTCATAAGCCAGCGATTTTCAACCCTTTGCATCTCGTGGCACACACAAACTACTAAAATTCTGTACACACCAAAATACATATTTTTTGTCAATCTGACAAAATAGATTTTGATTTAGTCACACAGGATGGCTATTGTGTTTGTTGTCATCTAAAAACAATTTTTTTAAATTGATTTTGGAGAGAGGAAGGAGAGAGGTGGAGAGAGAGAAACATTGATGAGAGAAACATCATTGATCAGCTGCCTCCTGCATGCCCACTACTGGGGTTCAAGCCAGGAATCTCTTGGTGCATGGAATGATGCTCAACCAACTAAGCCAGACTGGCTGGGCAGCTGTTGTCATTTTTATAAATTTAACAGTCTAGGGGAAAAGAGGTCAGTACCCCTAACTAAATAGTCAGGTATTGCATGTTTTAAAAGTTCTGGCACACCCATTGAAAATCACTGTCATAAGGAGTAACTGATGATTTGTAGACTGAGTGGATTGTTCTGAAGCAGTCACCTGTTTGCTGTGAAACTTCCATTTAACTCCATACCATCCCACCACATCTTTTATCCTTTCTGATGATCTGGGTTTTGTCACTTCATGATTTGTGTGAACCAAAGAGAGTATCTTGAAACCTTGGTGAGAAGAAACTCCTGTCCGTACTCTGCTGTGGGCACCGAGCACAGAATCCCTGTCAAGAACCAGGTGCCTTTGTGTTTTCTGGCGACCACACTGCCTTCCACCCACTGCACCCCTCCAGCCGCTGCTCCCCTCTCGCAGTATGTCCTCGTTGTGACTGTCACATTAAGTGCTGTGCCACACTCCTCGCTGTCCATGTGTGTGACTGGCAGCTGTGTCGGCACATTGCCCAGCTCGGAGCCGTTGAGGGTCCAACCGATGAGGAGGCCCCGTGTCCCTGGGATGAGGATGCGCTCCGCGAAGTCCCTCTCGGGCATACAGATGGGGAGCCCCATGTCCGGGCACTGGATGGGCAGCTCCAGCTCCAACAGTGAAATGTCATTGTCCCCAGTCTCTTCTTCATACCTCATGTGCACATGGATGCTCTTCACCTTGACTGTCAGCGGGTCCTTACCTGTTCTAGGAAAATCTGAAATAATAGGCAATCACTGGTCTCTGCAGTCTGATTTTCAAGGTTGCAATAATAAGAGACTAATTTCTCAGCCATGTGACAAGGCAGAGGCTGGAACTGATAACACGGGTCGTGGCTAATTGCACTGATCTTTCTTCTATGGAATGAAAGGGAAACTACAGAATGAAGTATTTCAACTAATTCCTTGTACTCTTTAAAAATATCAAAATGAGCCCTGGCCGGTTTGGCTCATTGGTTAGAGCGTCGGCCTGCGGTACAGAGAGACCCGGGTTCGGTTCCCGCTAAGGGCACGTACCTCGGTTGCAGTTTGTCCCCGGCCCTGATCGGTTGTGTGGGTGGCAGCCACTCGATGTGTTCCTTTCACATCGATGTTTCTCTCTCTCTCTCTGTTCCTCTCTCTCCCTCCCACTCTACCTGAACAAAAAATGGAAAAATGTCCTCGGGTGAGGATAAAAAAATAAATAAATAAAAATAAAATGAATTATTTTGGTGAAATGGTAAAAAAAAAATAAGTAACTTCAGGCTAATCAAAACTTGGCTGTTAGAAGTAGTTTTTCAGGCTGACATTTTGTTGACTGAAAAATATTAAAGGATGAGGAGTAAAATATATTAAGGTTCTTCAGAATCATCATAGAGCACTTTGACAGATCATCACTGAACCTTTGCAACCTCCCTACAGGATAGAAATTCCTGCCCATTTTTCACTGATGAGGAACCAGGCCCTGACAAAGTAGGTGGTGAGCCCCATGTCGCAGCCATGGTCTCAGGTGACAGAGGGGAGTCTGAACCCGGACCTTCTGAATTTAGTCATCTGTCTTGTACCCCAGCAACTCCATTTCAGTGTCAAGTTAAGTTATATTTCTATCGGCCGTGATTTCCTCAGACTGAATATTAGCATTTGCCTGCTTGCTATGCCTAGATGTTTCACCAGGTATTTTACATATGCTTTCTCATTCTAGAATGAGAAATCTCAGTCGTGTCGAAACTAAATTCAGTTCTGTATTGCATTAAAAACAAAGTTCTAGTTTTTAAATTTTCATTCTACATAGGATATTGTTTATTTCCAATGTGGTCTTACAAAAATGCTAAAATACTTACTTGTTTTCACACTAATATTTCTGTGTAACAGTGAACATTTTGCTGTTGTCAGCACAAAATTTTCCTGTATTATAACACCACCACAGAAGTCTTTTCCTTGGGAATTGGTTAGTTTTACCTTAAAAACACAAAACAGACAATAAACACTTTGCAGGTTTAGGGATAGTATAGTCTAGTAGCTAAGAATGTGTGCTCCAAAGACCGCCATTGAGGGGGTGTGTCAGCTGAAGGTACAACAGACTGTGTAACAGCAAAGATGGACAGAACCCTAAAGCAGCCACTCAGCAAAACAGAATTCTAGCTAGTAAGCCAACAAAGAAGGTAAAATGGAATAAAAAATATATGTAAATAATCCAATAGAAGGCAGAAAAAAGAAAAATGGGAAAAGAACAGATGGGAGAAATAGAAAACTAATAGTAAAATTAAGAATTTAAACCTAGCCCTGGCTAGTTTGGCTCTGCAGTAGAGTGTCGGCCCGCAGACTGATGAGTCTCGGGTTCAATTCTGGCCAAGGGCGTGTACCTCGGTTGGGTTGCTGTTCATCCCTGGCCCTGGTCAGGGTCGTGCAGGAGACAACCAGTCAGTGGGTCCCTCTCATGTCGATGTTTCCCTCTCTTCCTTTCTCTCCCTCTCTCCCCTTCCCACTCTGTCTGAAGATAAATAGAAAAAATATCCTTGGGTGAGGATTAAATTTTTTTTAAAAAAGAATTTAAACCTTACTAGATAAGTATAAAATGGTCTAAATACCCAATTTAAAAAGCAGGGATTTGTCAGACTGGATAAAATTGAAAGCTAATTATATACTGCCTATAATAATGTAAATATAAATATGATCTAAAATTAGAAGATTAGAAGGAAATTACATGCTAACACTAATCAGTAGTGTTAGGGAGATTTCAAAGAATATTACCAGGGGTATAAAACAGATGAAATATGAGGTTATTTTGAGGATTAAATGAAATAAAACGTGTCCTTCACAGCACAGGTGCTGGCTCAAGAAATGTTCATTATAATTTCTAGCTTAATAAAATAAAAAATGCTGAACAAAGTATAAATTTTTTTTCAAATTTAATGTAGCCTCATTTCTGGAAACCTTAAATGCTTATTAATAGTAGTTGCCATTTATTGACTACAAAAGTCAGGTACATTTTCTTTTTTAAAAATATTTTTTCTTGCCCTGGCCAGTTTGGCTCAGCGGTTAGAGCGTCGGCCTGCGGTCCGGAGAGACCCAGGTTCAGTTCCCGCTGGGGGCACGTACTTCGGTTGCAGTTTGTCCCGGACCTGGTTGGTCGTGCAGGTGGCAGCCACTCGATGTGTCCCTTCACGTCGAGGTTTCTCTCTCTCTCTCCCTTCCTCTCTCTCCCTCCCACTCTATCTGTACAAAAAATGGAAAGATATCCTCGGGTGAGGATAAAAAAAAAAATAAATTTTTTTCTTTTTACTGATTTTAGAGAGAGGAAGTGAGAGGGAGAGAGAAAAACATCGATGAGAGAGAACATTGATTGGCTGCCTCCTGCATGCCCCCCACTGGGGATCAGGCCCACAACCTGGGCATGTGCCCTGACCAGGAATCAAATTGATGACCTCTTGGTGCATGGGTCGACGCTCAACCTCTGAGCCACACTGGCCAGGCTGCAATAGATATTTTAAAGTGCCAACCCTAAGAATAAAATATTTCAATTTATCACAGCGTTTGGGACTAATTGTTCATTTCCTTTATTCATAATCAGTTAAACCTCTCCCTGCCACTCCTATCAGAAAGTTGAATTCTTTTGCAGTTGTTTTTTTTCCATGTAACACTGGAAGTTGACTCATCCCCCAAGGCCTGGAATCAAACCGGCGACCTCTTTTGGAGCATGGATCGATGCTCAACCACTGAGTCACACCGACCAGGAAGATACAGTTTCTTTAATCCTCACTGCAACTCTTGTATTATTATCTTTATTTTATAGGTGGATAAAACCAAGTTTAAGGGAAGTTGGCATTTTCAGCATTAGTCTGCTAGATGCAGATTAGACTACATTAGTCTGTAAAATGCAGTGGAACACAGTGCCTATTTATTATCTAGAATGTAAGAAAGAAGTTGTGAAGATAATTTCAACTCTGTATCCTAGGCCAGGTAGTTAATTCAGTTAAATAACTTCAGAACTATTTACTGTACCAGAGTAAAAGCTAATAGTATTTAGCTTGCTAAATCTGCATGTCTCCAAACATGTTCGATTTGTATATAGAGAATGTTCACCTCACAGGTAATAGCTCCTGGTCTCATTGAATAGAAATAACACTACTTCTATAGATGAAAATAGCAATCAAGGTTCCCTTGAGTGGGCTGGGAGACTGAAGACTGTGCTCTCGGCTAAACTAACCCACCACTGTCTTATCGTGCTGGTTCAAGTGCACAGTCACCGTCCACCTGTCCCCTCCCCCCATGTTCTGAGGCCTGTCTTAGTGCACTTGAACGTGAGTATGAATAATGGGTCTTAGAAAGCTTAAGGAGAAAAGGCAGCAGAAAGTCAAGTTCTCCAGCTGATAATTAGACCACGCTGGTTTGGTTACTTTTCATCATTTTATGTCCCTTCACTTGGTTTCCTTTCTCATCTGGATTATTACAGTAGTCACTGAGCTCTGTTCAGTTGTCTGCCCAGGCCTCCACAGAGCAGCCAAGTGATTCCGCTAGCTTAACCAGCTTAAAATGTTAGCCCTGGCCGGTTTGGCTCAGCAGTTAGAGCGTCACCCTGCGGTCCCAAGAGACCCGGGTTCGGTTCCCACTAAGGGCACGTATCTCAGTTGCAGTTTGTCCCCAGCCCTGGTTGGGTTGTGTGGGTGGCAACTACTCGATGTGTCCCTTTCACGTCAATGTTTCTTTCTCTCTCTTAGTCCCAATCTATCTGAACAAAATATCAAAAAATGTCCTCGGGTGAGGATAAAAAAAAAAAAATGTTACACACACACACGAGGCCCTCTAGAAACTGCTAACGCTAGGCTGTCAACATGGTAGGCACATGTGGTTACTGATTATTTGAGAGGTAACTGGTCCAAATTAGGATATTCTCCAAGTGTGAAACACACCCCAGTTGTCAAAGATTTAGTAATGAAGATGTAAATATCTCAATTTTTTTATATTTGTTACATGTTGAAATAATGGTATCTAGACATATTAGAGTAAATAAAATAAAATACATTATCCAGCCCTGGCCAGTTTGGCTCAGCAGTTAGAGTGTTGGCGTGCGGTTCACAGAGACCCGGGTTCGGTTCCCACTGGGGCATGTACCTCAGTTGCAGTTTGTCCCCGACCCTGGTTGGGTCATGCCGGCAGCAGCCACTTGATGTGTCCCTTTCATGTCGATGTTTCTCTCTCTCTCTCCCTCCCTCCCACTCTATCTGAACAAAAAATGGAAAAATGTCCTCAGGTGAGGATAAAAACAAAACAAAACAAAAAAAATACATTATCCAAATTCATTTAATCTGTTTTACTTTCATTAGTGTGACTAGGAAATTTCTGTTATGTGTGTGGCTTACATTCTATTTCTATTAACAGGGCTGTTCTGAAGAGTGTGCTTTAGGCAGAAGGAGATGATCTGCATTCGAGGCAGGGAAAATTGAAAACAGGTAAAGTAAAACCCACATGAGTGGTATAAGTCATAATAATAAAATAATACCTATTTTGTGTAGTTACTAAAAAAGCAAGAAAAGAATAAAATACTGGTTAAAATAGCAGAGGGGCCTAGTATGAGGTGCTTGAAATAATTTAGGAGAGGGGGGATACTAACTTTATTTATTGACATATTAAAAATGAATGTTTAACTGTCCAGAGTAGTCATTAAATAGAAATAGAATGTTTAACTTCCAAACCAGACAAGGGGGAGACAGGAAAATAACAAAAATGAATGCCAAAGGAGAGAAATTTCCTGCACACAATGATGGAGCTGGGGTTCCAGCTGGGGGGCTGGGGAGTGGAGCCTGCGTCCTTCACCCTGGCCACCTGCCTTCCCTGTGTTCGCTTGCCAGACCCCATGTGAGCTCATCCACCCACGTGCAGCTCCAGGATGCTGTGTTCTGAGAAGGATGGCATTGGGAACAGTTTTTGAACTCCGTAAGAAAGACCCTGGGTGGCTATAAATAAAACTATGTTTGTACTTGGTGAGAGAATGAAGACAGCTAAAGTTGTGAATTCAGCACTAGAAAGTGCTCTGAAGTATGATTTTGAGATTAGTTAATAGTTCACAGAAATTAGGACGCCTCTTTTCCTTAGTCATTACGTTTCTATTTGGTAGGCAAAGATGACGGTCACAAATAGGATGAAATCTGTAACAAAAAGTTAAAGCATGTTTATAAAATGTTTCTGGTACCTGCCATGGGAAAATCGGAAGATTCTGCTTGCTCTTCTGGGCTGTCATGATGCATTCAGAATTCAGGAGTCCACACGCACACTTCTCTTCATTTGTGGTGACAACATAAGAAAAGTCAGTGCCTTCCAAGTCAAACATTGGGTTTTATATATAACTACTTGAATCTGGCTTCTTAATGCCCTTTATTTTGAGATAACCCATGTGGACACAGAGCAGAGTGAAATTAAGTCATCTGCTCTTGGCGCCTGTGGGTTAGCTAAGGTACTGCTATGACCCAGGCAAACTCCAGCGTGGAGGCACAGAGGGCTGGCCGGGTCATAGTGACTCCTCATCTCCTAGGGAAGAGGTACCTTTTCAAACATGATTGCAGGAGAAGGAGCCGGGTGTTGACGGGAGCTGACAGGGTAGGAAAGACAGACACCTTTTCTCATTTCTCATTGATTGAGAACTCACCGTGTGGGATGCACGATTTGTGGTCTTGGCCCAGTGCATACCCCTTTGCACAGCTGCACATGTAGGAGGCCTGCCCCGGGAGGCAAAAGTGTTGACACCCATCAGTCCTCAATGGGTGACATTCATTTTTAGCTGAAAGGGAAAACCAGAAGTGCTAACATGGAAATAGTTGTTTTTAAATTTCCTTGCACCTTGGGGTTCTGGACTTTCAGTCCAAACGTCCTGGTTCTTTTCAGAGTTTGGGTTCCTTATAGAAGCAGTTCCCACACTTCAGTCTTCAGGAATGTGCATGGAGAAATCAAAGGTTTGGTGGGTGACAACCCTTGTATTTGTCCTCAGAAAACGTCACGTGGTCGTGGGAGAATGTGCACACATGTTGTAAGGCATTTGCCCGTTCCCCTAACTTCCACTTCCTGCCGCAGCGAGGGGCGGGTGGGGTGGGAGGGTTCTCATGACCCCATGAGAGTGGCTCAGTAGCTGGGATGGGGGAAAGGGACACGTGTGGGGTGAAGATCAAACCTTGCTTTGGCACGTAGGTTCGGGATGTCTGTAAAACATTACGGGGCTCTCAAGGTGGCGGGTAGAGTGGAAAGCTGGACTTTGGAGGAGAGATCTGGGCCGGAAATAATATTTTCCCTCAGAAAATGGACTCTGTATTGACCAGAGGCATTGAAAGGATTAAGAGAGTTTATTTCCAGATCTGATCATTGTTGATAGGAAACTGGTTTCTCCCTACGCCCATGAGGAATATTAGTTCATGAAGCTGTAAGTCTCGTACCCATGCCTACCTCTGAGCCAGCCTGTGTGTGATTCTCCCGGACAGACTGACCCTCCAGATCCCATCACCCCTGCTGGGAACGGGTCAGGTTCTAGGAATTCTTGAGAGTAGATTGTAAATGGTTTAGGTGGGGGTGGGTTTGGGAGGACAGGAAGGGAGTCTAAGCCACGGAAAGTAGAGGGAGGTGGATTTGGAAGGCAGGAGGACCATTCACAGAATGATTTCCAGTGGAGAGCTGGGCTGGAACTGGTTCCCGCGGGCACCCTTTACTAACTCTTGGGAGCCCATCTCTGTGCGTATGGGGTGGGCCGGGCGGGGGGCTCACCGAAGGCGCAGTTCCTGCCCTCGTAGCCTGAGGAGCAGGTGCAGGTGTAGCTGCGGACGTGGTTCTGGCAGGACCCGTTGTTGAGGCAGGGCTGGGAGATGCATGGGGAGCCACCTGCCAAGAGGCCTGTGAGAACCTTGTGCAGGTGGCATCATCGGGGCCTCCTGACATCCCCTGGCCCTGCGGCCCGGATGCCAGGAGGCTGGATCAGGCTGCCTCATGTGTCCCCTGAGTCCCACCAGCCCATGTGTGCCCACAGTGTTTGTCCAAGTCCCCTTCCTAAGCCTCCTTTCTTCGCTGAGCGACCACGGTGCTGGTGACTGTTGCTGCCACAGCTCTTCTCCTGATCCCCTCTCCCATCCCTCTGGCCCCAGTCACCGTGGGCTGCTGGGAGCTCCTCTCCAAGGGACACCCAGCAGCCCCCGAAGCCTAGGCTGAGCTGTCACTTTCTGCAAATTACCCAGGTTCTCACCCTTCAGCAGGAGGCCCAGGGAGCCTGTGAGGCCACAGGACCCAGAGGAGCTGCTCTGGATGGGGGCTCTCTGGCCTCTGCCACCTACTCCCTGATCCCGGCAGGACCTTGGGAGCTTTCCCACTCTCCCTCGTCCTTGCCCTCAGGGAGTGTCCGGGTACCCAAGGTTTGAAATGGGGAGTGCCTTACCTCATCTCAAGGAAAAAGAAGAGGAAATAACCCTTGCGAGAGTTGAGGAAAGCCACTTACCCATATACTTTTCCCAAAAGTCCTCCTGTAAAATTAAAATATAAAAGTGTTGCAAATCGGCTTAATGATAAAAAGATGTTGACTTTATCCACTTAGTGGGAAAATACTACTTGAAACAGAGAATGCAAAATTCTCTACTTAATATCCTATTTAATATATAGGTAACACATCCTACTTCAGGTGGATTTACTGTGACCTGTTTAAGGAAGGAGAAATGACAGTCTGTGAGGTGGTACGAGGTCATGACCACGCCTCCCAAGGCCTCCCTTCCCTCCTCCAGGGCGCACTGGTCATTCACGTCCTTAGGCTACAGAGTGCATGATGCAGACACAAAATATTAACATCCCTTTTTATAAGCCAATTAAACAAGGATTAAAATGTCAGAGTGTGTATGTGTGTGGAAGGTTTGTTTGGGTGGGGTTATCTATCATCTGGACAATTACTCAGAACCGAAGCCTAGAAAGTAAATGAGTGATTGTGATCTCCCCAATCATACTTGTAACAACCTGAATGATGTCACGAGTCACACGAAGAGCACAATTTTCCAAATGGACCTCAAGGGTATTATGCTAAGTGATTAGTCAGACAGAGAAAGACAAGTACCATATGGTTTCCCTTATATGTGGAATCTAAAGAACAAAATAAATGAACTAACGAAACAGAAACAGACTCACAGATACAGAGACCAGACTGATGGTTGCCAGATGGGGGAGTGGTTGGGGGACTGGGTGGAAACGGTGAAGGGATTAAGAAGTACAGGTTGGTAGCCCTGGTCCGGTGGCTCAGTTAGCTGGAGCATCGTCCCACACACCAAAAGTTTTGGGTTCGATTTCCAGACAGGTCACATACCTAGGTTGTGTGTTTGATCCAGTTGGGGTGCATCCGGGAGACAACCAATTGATGTTTCTCTCCCACATTGATGTTTTTCTCTCTCTCCCTTCTTCTGTCTCTAAAATCAATAGAAACATTCTCAAGTGAGGATTGAAAAAAAGTACAAATTGGTAGTTATAGAGTAGTCATAAAGATGTAAAGTACAACATAGGGAATATAGTCAATAATATTCTAATAACTATGTATGGTGTTAGATGGGTACTAGATTTATCAGGGGCACCACTTCATGAATTATATAAATGTCTAACCACTATGCTGGACATCTGAAACTAATAGAAAATAATATTGACTGTCAATTGTAATTGAAAAAATTAAAAAACCCACAATTTTCCTTTTACCAGGACAGTTTTTTGTTTTGTTTTGTTTTTCTATTCTCACCCAAAGACATTTTTTTTTTCATTTATCTTCAGATAGAGCCGGAGAGAGGGAGGAAGAGAGAGAGAGAAATATCAATGTGAGAGAGACACATCAACTGGCTGCCACCCACATGACCCTAACCGGGGCCAGGGCCAAATTGCAACCAAGGTACATGCCCCCAGCGGGAACCGAACCCAGGACTCTCTGGTCTGCGGGCCGATGCTCTAACTGCTGAGCCAAACTGGCCAGGGCTACCAGGAAATTTTAATTTATCCTAGTTTTATTAAAGGTGGTCTATTTCAGAAGAGTTCTCTCATCTATAAACATGCAGAAAATAATGATTTTTAAAAATATAGTAGAGAAACAGTTCAATATTTTATTTAGAATAACTTTAAATATTGCTACTTTTATATGTAAAACTAGGAGATCTTTATTGAATATTTTACTATTCTGAAATACAAATACATATTTGTCCTGTCAGGTTTGACTTGCTTCTCTCTATCTTCTGATAAGGTTATGAGTAAGTAAGAATGGTTTGCTTATATTATTTAGAGTATACATAGAGTCACATTTAATCCAAATTGTAGATTACTACTTAATCCAAATGATAGATTATGAGAGATTTTCTTACTATATAGGCACTCTTGAGATTTTTGTTTCTTAAAAATTTGTTGATGTGTTGAAACAACTAGGACTCTATTAAAAACGTCAAATTCTGTTAGTCATGACAAGCTGAGTGATGTTTGTGATGGGTAAATTTAATCGATGTGCTAATTTGGTTAATCAGAAGGAGTTTAGGGGTGTGGAACTGAGTTAGTATCTGGGTCCCCTACTTATAGATGTGGAAAATTATTTTATTTCTCTGTCTCTGTTTCCTCATCGGTAAAATTAGGATTAAGTCAACCCCACAGGAAAGTAAACGGGTTATTAATTTCTCCTCATCTCTGAGAAATTATGCCCTCTAAGGCAGCAGAAATAGGAATAATCAGAAAGTATGTGAGTTCATGGTAGGGGTACCTACAGTGGTCACATCATCTTCAAATACTTCTCTTGCTTCTTCATAGACACAAATTTCTTCATAACATTCTTTTTCCAAATTGCCCTCAAAGAGCTCTTCCAGAAGGTAGGCACCAGCTCGCTTCTGTCTTACCAGAACTTCATTTGCTTTCGAGGCAGAGAGAAATGCTGCGGAGCAAGATAAGAACGTGGGTGCTGTCCACGCTGACAGACTTCCTGGGGATCAGAGTGCATGGCTGCGACTGCCTGACGTCCGCCTGTGGCCTGGCCGCCGCCTTTCCTGTCCCCGCCAGACCAGGCTCAGCTCCCACATGCCTGATTTTCTCTCTGAGCTTCTCTTCTGGGAGGACCCCAAGGGACACCAACATTTCTAACAGATTTGTCATAAACGATAACGAGATCATGGGGTCTCTTTTGGGAGCTGAGTTAAGACCTGCTGACCACTCAGGGGCTCCTCTGTCCTAGGAAAAGCCCCCTGGCAAAACCCACACTGTCTGAAAGGACACAGTGAGGAAGAGGACACCAACCTGAGGGCTCGACGCAGTGGAGGACCAGGAGGAAGAGGAGCAGCTGGACGCAGCCTGCCATTCTGACCACAGCCCAGGGACAGGTCTGCCAACACCGGGGCCAAAGTCCGCCCTGGGCCCTGCTCACAACGCTGGGAGGTTGCTCAAAACGACCCCCAGCTGTAAAATGTGGAGCCAAGCAGGAGACAGAAGCTGAAACGAGAAAAACGTCTCTCACCAAGAGTTCGTTTCACCTGGCCACTGGGATAACGTGCGCACAGGCCCAGCATCAGGAATTTTATTGGATATATCCAACGTGCTAAACATGTGCTTCAGTTTTGTGTTTTTCTGTTCAAGGCAAAGAGGGGGGAAAAAAGGCGGAGAAACAAAAGCCAAAGCAAAGAGGGCTTTGGTGAGGTACTTAGGAGACAGAGTGGGTTGACTTCTTTGGGGTGAGGTCAGGAGGTCCTGTCCGAGGAACTCTGGTGACAGACCCAGGGAGAGCCGATCCATCCTCGCACACATGCACAGCCTGGGTAACAAGGTCTGGTGGGCCTCCACCTGAGCCAGGTGTCCTTGGCCTGGGGATACAGCAGTGAGCAAGACAGTGGCCTGGAGCCTACGTTCTAGGTGTGTGTGGGAGCGTGGAGAGAGGGAGGGAGAAATAATGTCCCATGTCACTATCAGAAAAAGAAGAGCAGATGATTGGGTACAGAGCAGTATGGGGCTATTTCAGATAAGCTGAAATAGAGGCTCCCTTTGGGAGAGAAGTCTGAACACAGGGAGCCTCATGAGCCTTATGGGGCAGGGGGTGGGGGTGGGGGTGACTGAGAAAGATCCCCAAGGGCACAGAATACCAAGGCCTTGAGGTAGGAGGCTCTGCTACCTACCTACCTGAGGTAGGTCAGTGTGGGGAGGGCGTCCACAGGAGGGCAGCAGAGGACCCTAGATCATAGAACTGGAACCTGGATGGGGAGAGCCAGGGGTCAGCAAGCTTTTCTGTGAAGGGCTAGAGAGTCAGCCGAAGCCCTGGGGCCACACCTAGTTCTCGGTGAGTCCAGCCGAGCCAGGTTTCCTGAGGTGCCAAGTGCCACATGGAAGAGGTGACGTAGAGGACGTTTTGTGAGAACCAAGTGTGTCTTTGAACCAAGAATCACACGCAGCATCGCAAGGTGATTAATTGTTCCGAGGAGAAAACAAACTCACAGCTCACTCTACTCATTCCGGGTCACACGCTCACCGAGTGGATGCTCTGTCTCCCTGACTCTGTCTCTGTACCTCTCTCTCTCCTTTCCTCCTCTCCCCTGCACCCCATATACAGAGGATTCCCTTCTGTTGGGGCATCTGGTGAGACGCTCTGTCCCACCCTTTTCCACGGACCCTGTTCGTTTCCTTCAAAGACTCAATCAGTGTCATTTCCTGGATGTTCTGGGGCTTTGACATGGACACTTTTGGGGCATCCAGGCCTTCGTCAGCTGGATTTGCCCAACTGACCTCTCCCCGTTCAACAGGGGCAGACCCTGCAGCAGTGATGTGTGTGTCCTGCCCACTGCTCTGCCCAGCACACCCGACAGCACACCTGGCCACTGGGATGATGTGCGCACAGGCCCAGCATCAGGAAGCTGCCCTGTTTGAAATGAGGCCATTCTGGAAGGATGCTCTGAGAGTGTCAGTAGCATGTTTCTCAACGACTTTCCGACTTTCCGCCGGGGTGGTGGTCCTTGACAGCTTGCCTCACTCGGTGACTCCTGTGCTGGCTGTGGCAGCAGGGGTCCTGCTGAAATGGTAATTTACACCCTCCCGTTCCCCTTCAGGGGGCTCCATGCAGACGGGGACAGAGAGCAGCCCCTCCCACCCACACGGTCCCATCCCTGGTCCTGCTAGAAGGCCTCAGCCTGGTGCTCCGCGCCTGCAGGCCCAGCCTCAGGTCCGGACAGACCCTCCAGGGAGCCAGCGGGCCCTGCATCGGGAAGGTCACCCCTGTTCTTGTGAACCTACTGCCACCACTAGTTTTGAAGCACCACGCTGGGCCCAGCCCCCACGCAGCTGGCTGGCACTCTCTCCTTTGCCTCCTAACTCACGCTCAGCTGGGCCTCCCTGTCCCTTCAAACCTCACATCACCGCCCAGAACCCCTCCGTGTCTCTGGGCAAGTGTGCTCCCTGGCTGCTGTCACCTTCCTTCTTCTGTCCTCGGGCACTGAGTGCGCGGGCGTGTGCGTGTGTGTGTGTGTGCGTGTGTGCGCGCGTGTGTGCGCGTGTGTGCGTGTGTGTGCGCGTGTGTGCATGTGTGTGTGTCAGGGGAGGCAGTGCCTGGTGAGAAGATGGTTTTATTGTAGTGCTGCAACCTCTCCCTCACTCTCAGGAGAAAAACACCAAACCCGTACTTTGTCCCGCTCTCTGGCTCCTCACCCTTGGCTTCTGCCAATCGCTGCGCCCTCAGGGCCTCACTCCCACACCGAGCAGCCCCTGAGCCGACTTCCCCGTGAAGCTCCGGCAGGAGCCGGGAAGGGCATGTGCCCCCACACAAGCTGCGGCCCGTGTTTAGGGGTAACACGTAGGGATGAGGAGGCTGCCGTAGCTCTGTTTTCCCAGGAAGACAGTCAGTCACACAGAGGGAGGTACGTTGTTCAGGGCACACAGGGACCAGCAGGCCTGGGCTGACCCGTCTGTGGGTCCCAGGCCAGGACCTCCCCCGGCACTGCTTCCCCTGCTCCTTCAGGCCTCCCTGGATGGGGAAGATACGCAGACCCACGGAGGTGACGGAGGCTCCCCCTGCCCTTCTCTCTGCCGTGCCTCCGTTTCCCTTCCTCTCTGATACATGCATGGACTCTGTTGCCAATAATAGTGGCCCACAGTGAGAGATCAAGTAGTAACAGCAAAGGTAAGTTTTATTTGTGAATTTTCCCCAAGTTGTCTCTGAACCCCAAACCACCTTTGATCTCCAGAAACAGGAAGTGAAGTCTGGGGTGTGCCCCAGACAGGCCAGGCAGCTGCAACGAAACCCTCAACCCGACAGTACGGTGGTCTCCTGCCATCGAGGCCTTTTCTCCAGGAAGGGCCCCGGGAGCCCGCTGGACAGTGGCTCCTTCGAGGAGGAGTCCAGGCGGGCAAGAGGAGAAAGTTCCCCTCAACTTTTCCTGCTCTCCTCAGACTGTTTCTGGGAAACATACTTGTCCACATTGCTTTTTCTAACCTTGCAATGTCTCTTGTTAACAATGAACTCTAACCTTGCAATATCTCCTGTTTACAAAAAAAAAAAAGCCACTGACATTTTGGGCAGTTTTTGCAGTGGGACTTTGAAAGTTTGCTTAGCAAAATTACGTAAAATGCAAACTATACAGGGACATTTGGAACACGCTGGTCAGGACTGAGGTGACCTTTTCCATTTTCTAAAAGCGCATTTGGTTTTCATGACCATTGAAGTTGAGGGCCTGGAGCCGGTGTGGACAGGACTTGGATGGCAAGGGACTTGGTATTTAGACATGACTCAGTTAAAGAGAGGGGAGCTCTACCGCAGTCCCCACCAACACACACTGCACAGGCAAGGGTCACCTGAGAAACTGCAGAAGCGTGCGGGGCCCATGCCCACCCCACAGACTCTGATTTAAGTGCTCTGGGCTGTGGCCTGGATGAAGGACTCCAGAGCCTGCTGGTCTGGGGGCACCTGGCACTTCGTGGGCATGTAAGTTGCTCAGGAGACCGTGCCAGCCTGGGCCCAGGCTTGGGCACATTTTAAAGGTGCCCCAGGTGCCCTGGCCCTGTGGCTCGGGCGGTTGGAGTGTTGTACTGTACACCGCAAGGGCACAAACCTAGGTTGCGGGTTTGGGGCATGTTCAGGAGATGATTGATGTTTTTCTCTCACATAGATGTTTCTCCCCCCCTACACACAAACTTTCTTTCTCTCTAAAAATCAATAAAAACAAACATATCCTTGGGTGAGAATTTAAAAAATTAACGTAAAATAAAAATGCCCCAAGTGATTGTAGCGTGAAGCCAGAGAAAAGAACCAGTGGTTAAGTCAATGTTAAAATATCCCCGCCAATGAGGGGCTCTCTGGGCTGCCCCTTCCCGGGAAGTGTGCCTTGCACAGGAAGCTCCTGGAGCACACACCGCCACCCGCTGTCCCAGTCCCAGAAGGGGATGACAGGCCTGGGGGAGCGACACTGGCCTAGGTGGGGGGCTCCCACCCGACCCAGGGTGGGGCTGCCCCATCGCGATCAGGCCCCGGCCCTTGCTGTGCCTTCGCTCTGCGCTGCCAGAACCCTGGTCACGTATTCTCAGTGTTCTGAGTGTGTCCCACCAAGACGGCGGTTTAGGTCAGTCGGAAACAGGAGAATGTGCTATGAATAGGAACGGCCCCCTCAGGCTCTGGCGCAAAGGAGTCATCCTGGGGAGTGTAACCCCAGTTCTGTAAAATACAACATTTCCAGGAGGAATCTTCCAACCTGGCGAGGAAAGGCAGGATCAAGTGTTCCAAATGAAAATTTCATTTCCCATGTCAACAGAGCTATAGCAAGGTCATGATCAGGAATGGACACAATCATGGGAGACAGGAAACTTTCCGGGATTCAGCCCGCTCAGGGTGGCAAGTGTAAGACAAAACGAGACACCAAGAGCTGCCAGTGGGTCTTTGGGTGGAATCAGTCTAATGAGGGGGGAGCTGTAGTGTCCCCCAACTCATCCTGGGCCTGGGCGTGGGCCTGGGCTTGGGCCTTGGTTTTCATGGACTTATTGATCCACTTGAGGAAGTTGGTGACTTTGGTGTAGATCCCGAACTTTCCTTTCTGTGCACATCCTTCTCCCCAGCTGACGATGCCAGTGACAAAGTAGGTGCCCTTGAACCGAGTGACATGAGGACCCCCGCTGTCCCCCTGACAGGCATCTTCAGGCTTTGCGTCATAGCCGGCGCAGAACATGTTTGAGGTGATGGTGAGGCTGGTGGACAGCTTGCACGTGTTCCTGTCCACATAGGGCACCTCCAGCATCTTGAGGGTGACGGACGGGCGGCCCTTCTCGTGGGTGCGCCCGAAGCCGCTTATGATGCCGGATCTCTGAGTCATGAGCGTTGACTCGGCCCAGTCCTTCTGGGGCAGGCAAGCGGGGGCGACGTTCATGCGGAATTTGATGGGCGTCTTCAGCTTGAGAACGGCGATGTCACAGTCGTAGGTCGCTTTGTCGAACTTGTTGTGCTTTATGATCATCTCCACCTCGTGCACCATCTCGTTGCCGTCCTCCTGCTCCGTGTTCCGATCACCTGCAATACGGTGAGAGCGTGGTGGTGTTAGCTCAGCCTGGGCCACGCGTTCTCAGGTGGGTTACTTTTCGAAGGAGCTGTTTGTGTCTTCTAATTAAAAAATGGTATATGGCCACTAGAAAGTTTGAAAAATATAGGAAATCATGAAGAGGTGAATAACAATGACTTTCAGTTTCACTACCTAGGGGCAACCCATTAGTCACATTTTTCTGTGAATGTTCAGTACGTCAGAGACTTCCAGTTCATTCATTTGTGGACAGATGTTTCCTGAGTATGTGTTGTATGCCAGGTACATGAGGGGCAAAGGTCATGTGTTCTAGACCCATGAAGTCCAGAGGGCTGCCACCAGCCACAGGGGCAGCTGGGCACTGGAAATATGACCGGTCTGAACAAAGATGTACTGTGAGTGCCCAATTTCAGACTTAGAATGAAGAAAAGTATTCAAAAGAGCTTATACATACTTTTAAAATTGATTACATATTGAAATTGTAGTATTTGGGATATATTGGATTAACTAAGATATATTACTACAATTAACTTCACCTGTAAACTTTTAAATCCTCAGCTGAGGATATGTTTACATTTATTTTCAGACAGAGTGGGAGGAAAGGAGGAAAAGAGAGAGACAGAAACATCGACATGAGAGGGACACATTGACCAGTTGTTTCCCGCACGACCCCAACCAGGGCCGGGGACCAAACCACAACCGAGGTGCGTGCCCTTGACTGGAATCGAACCCGAGACTCTTTGGTTCATGGACCGACGCTCTAACTGCTGAGCAAAACTGGCCAGGGCTTCACCTATAAACTTTTAAAATGTGTAATAGAAAATTTAATGTGACTAGAAAGTTAAAATGACACAGGGTGCACATTGGCTTGTATCAAACAGCTCTAGAGTCTGGTAGAGAAGGACAGGAAAAAAATTACAGGCAGAGGGACTCAGTGCTCAGACTGTTGAAGGGGGCTCTGGACGCCTTCCCAGAGTAAAGGTCACGGACAGCAGGTCCATCATGCTGGGTGTGGATACCAGGAGTCTCAGGGAGGACCATGAGGGGGAGAACTGGGCTGGCTCAGGGAAGGCTACCCCCACCCCCCCAAACCTGCCCAGCCTCCTCAATTTCCTCCAGCCCCCATTCTCCATCCTCATCTTCACCCTCCTCCTCCTTCTTGTCCTCATCCTCTTCCTCCCCGTTCTCCTCTTCCTTTGGCCTCTTCTCTTCTTCCTCTGAAACTACCCCCCAGCCCCCAGTCTGGATTCCAGTCATTTAATCTAGTGTTTCCAGCAAATGTGGTCAATTCTAGTGGTCTCTGAAAATAAGGAGGCGACAGTGGGCCCTGCAGGGCAGCTGAGGGGTGCGGCACCACTTACCTACCCTCACCTTGAATCTCTGGGCTTGGAGGAGACAGTGGGCTGCGGTGAGGACGTGGAACTCATTCAAGATGGTGCCTCCACAAAAGCCTTCGTTGTTCTCCTTGATGAGCAGAGCCTGTGGCAAGAATGCCAGAGCCAAACAGGTCGAGTCTGGCTTTCTAAGAGGAATTTGGAACCTTTAACTCAAGCCTTCCTCTCCATTGCCTGGATCAGGGCATCTCCCTTCCATAGCTGGTGTGCCCTGTCGAGCCTTTTCCTGCTCCTCCCCTCCCCCTGCTGCCCTTCACCAAGAGAGATCTGTGGCGTCTTCAGACTGGAACACTAGGCTCGAGCCAGCACACCCACACTGCCCGGCTGACCACCCAGGCTATGGCCAGCGTGGACAGGCCTGCAGACCTCTGACTTCTCATCACCACACCTGTCCCACTGGCCATTCAGTCCAGTACCCTGGCACATTCTTTAAGCGATGGCTCACAGTTGACCACATGACACCTTCCCAGCTCCTCCCAACTCAGTCCCTGATTCCACAGCACGGATGTGGGCAGCGCCTCACGCCTTCTGGTCTTTGCTTTACCCAGCCACAGCCAGTGGACTGACTTATTCATTGATTCCACAGACATTTACTGGGGCCCGACTACATGGCCAGTGCTAGCCGCTGAGCAGGGTCTGTACGATTTACCTACCTCTCTTTCCACCTGGACTGCAAACCCACTCCGCCAGGATTAGGCTTTCCTTTCGTCTGGACCTGTCCCAGCACTCTCAAATATTACAGTTACACGTGGAAAAACAGTTCTCACTGTGGTAACGACCTTTATGGTCTCTGTGGCTATGAATTATACACCCCAGACCAGGCAGAAGCCAGTCTTTGGAGAACATGCTCACCTGCACTGGCATGCCTTCTGGGCACCGGGAGGGCTCCTCTGGTCAGCCAGTCCCACAGCCCATGGAATGCCACCCCCAAGGTTAATATCTGTGGAACCCATGGGGCTACTTCTGTAAGGGGTTTTCACCTGATTTGGGATTTGGGAGTGAGGAAGATTCTCCCGGGGAATGAGCGTTGACGGGGCAAGTGAAAGGCACCTCAGACAATTCTCTTGTTTTCCTCCCCCCCCCCCCCCAAAGAACTGGGTTTGCAAATCCAGAAGTGGAGCATTTTTTGTTTTTTTCTTTTGAACTGGGCTATTTTTAAAAAATCAAACTCCATTCTGATCAGTTATTCCCGCACGTAAACACCCAAGCAGTTTTCTAAAAAACCTGGGACTGACACCCAGAGGAACCATAAAGATAAGGGGTTAATGGTGGCCAAGTTGGGAAACTTGGAGGGACCATAAAAAGAAAGAGATGAATGATTGCCCTGACCCCTGCAACCGACCCCCCTTCTCTGGAGAAGTCTGTATCAGCCCTGATGCCAATTAAGTGGAACCAGGAGGCATGTAAGTTTTTTCTTTGAATGTAGCTCTTTCTGTTTTTTTAATGTCGTTTTTTCTGTATTTTGTTCCTGTCTAAGCAAGAACAGAGGAAGCTCGGGGCTGGGATTTGGGAGATGCCCCAGCCTGCCGGTGTTATGCAGTGCTGCTTTATAGTTCGGCTGTGCGTCTCCGGTTATCTCCCTGACACGTTACAACACTTCCTCTTGGGAATTCCACATCCTCTAAGCAACAGTTATCAGCTGGGGATATGTGTGGGTTAATGAAGCAATTAACATCAAGTTCTAAAAGAATTCTTGAAGATGTTCCTGACTAGTATATAGTACAGATGTTCCTTGAGTTACGATGAGGTCAAATCCCAATGAGCCCGTCTCATAAATTGAAAATATCGTTAAGATGAAAATGCATGTAATACTCCTAGCTACCAAATATCCTAGCTTATCCGGGCCGACCTTAAACGTGCTCAGAACACTGGCAACACAGCTCACTGTAAAGTATTGGTTGTTTACCCTCCTGATCATGTGACTAACGGGAAGTTTCAGCTCACTGCCCAGCATCATGAGAGAGTATCATACTGAATATCACTAGCCTGGGAAAGATCAATGTGTATCACGTTCACACCATCGTAAAACTGAAAAATTTTAAGTCGGGGACCTTCTGCAATGTTGCTTTTTTTTTTTGGTTGCATAATTTATCAATTTATAATCCAACTTGGGTGGTAAGTGAAGGAGAGTCCGTCTTTTTAAGACTTGGACACCATCTGTTCTTCTTAAAGATAGAGATGAGGCGACTTGTCAAGTGTCGTGAATCCCCAGACTGACTGAGAAGCCCTCTGGTGAGGAGCCTTCTGCCCGAGCCCGTCCCTGTCCTCTCTGCCTGTGGAGTCCCATCTGAAGCCACTCTCAGAGATCCGAGTCCAACACGCCCACCCTACGGGAAGCTTGTCCTTGTTATATGCCCACTGATGTCACCTGCGTGGCCTTCATCCACTTGAATCGTGGCCATTTGGGCGGATCTCACCTCCCTTCTTAGATCTAGATGTCCACGTGTCAGAGAAGCAGCTCTGACGATTTCGTAGCCCACATCCCCAACCCCGGTTCTATGCCTGACACACAAGTTCTCCATAAATATGTGTTGCATGAATGATGAGTAGATGCCGAAATGTCCTCCCTTGGGCTCTTGATAATTCAGACAAATGCACACTTGTCGTGCAGCTTGGTGGTGAGGGGTGAGTTGAAGTAATTTCTAAAGGTTGTTGGCAGCTCTGGGATTTTGCTTGTAGGAGAAGCCAATACACTAAAATGGTATGAAGCCCAATTTAGGATTGCCAGATAAAATAGAGGCCATCCAGTTAAATTTGAATCAAATAAATAACAAATTATTTGTGGTATAATAGTATGTCCCATGTAGTATCTGGTATATACTTACATTAAAAATTATTCATTGTTTATCAGAAATTCAAATATAAGTGGAAGTCCTGTGTTCTTATTTGCTAAATCCGACTACCTTAGTCCCAATGAACCACAAAAGAATAATTTTTTACCTTTGATAACAGATGGATGTATTTTTCTCTAAGGTACTTTCTGTCTCATTGGAATTTGGGTGTTTAAATAACATTTTTTTTTTTTTTACCATATTAGAAATGAAACAAGGAGAGTAAATCTTTCTGCCTCCGGTCAAACAGAAGAGCAAGCAGAGACCTCAACAACCATCAAGGGAGCTGCCCTGGGAAAGATGCCGGTGCCCACCTCTCCTTCCTTCCACTGTAGGAGGGGTCTGAGGACTCAAACCCTAAGCACACAGATGGGAAAGGGCAGCCGGGGTGGGAGGGCGGAGGCAAGGACCCAGCTCCTTCTCAGCTCAGCCTCCTTCAGCATGGGCAGCTCCAAGCCTGCCGAGGGTCCACGTGTGTGCTTGGGCAGCATGAGACCCCCCCACCCCGCGGCTGTGCCAGCAGTGCCCAACCGGGTGGGTCCCCCATCCAGCTAACTCGCCAAGCGCACGCACTCGGCACTTACCTGCCAGGGACACTCGCCCTCTCTGCAGTCCCTCCCTCCCACTATCCGAACGAGGTCGCTCTCCTGGTCCTCGGGGCTTGTCTCTGTGTTGTTGAAGCCCAGCAGATCGAAAGGGTTCCTGGTGGGACCCAGGTGGAAAGGGTTCCTGGTGGGACCCAGGTGTCCAGAGTCGTACTTGTCTAGCACTTCAACATCGGGATCCCCGCTGCTGTGAAGGGCCTGGTCCGCCGACCTCCTTCTGCGTGCCAGAGTGTGTTTCCCACAGGGAAAAGGCTCTGCAAGGAGAAACAATGGACTGGGGCTTGAGCAAAGTGAAAATCCCCCTGCACCACACACAGGACGGAGAGAGGGAGGGTCTAGCCCTGTGGTGACCGGTGAGACTGCTGGGAAAACGCCCTTGAGGAAGAGCGTACTCAGTACCTGGGAAGGATGTGAGGAGCTTTTGGGGTGCAGAGTGCTCTGTGCCTTGATAGGGGTTGGGTTCAAAGGTGATGTGACCATCACAGTGCAAGAAACGTGCACTTCCTGTCAGCCCACCCCACTGTGTGCCAGTTCTACCTACATGACAGTGCTCTGGACACCGACCTCGGGCCGAGCAGAATGCTGAAGCATTGACGAGGGTATCTGCAATCTACATGGAAACGCATCCCAGTAACAAAGTGACTTGTGATGGACAGAGGACACATGGGCTGGGGAGGGGGGCAGACCCCGTGATGAAGCAAGTAGAGTGAGGTGTTACTGGTAGAGCCCAGGTAGGGGCATACGGGTGCTCACTGCCAAATCCTGTCAGCCCTGCTGTGTGTTTAAAACATTTCCTAATGAAAACAATTTTAAGTGTTCTGGGGGTAAGGGACAGCATATGCAACAACCCGAGACGTGAGAAGGAGTACTAGGACATGGCTCTGTATGGCAATGCCTAAAGGTGACAGCTATCCTTAAGAGCACCAAGCACAGGGGAGATGTATTGTCACCAACTAGGGAACTGAGGCCGAGAGAGGAGCCAAAGCAGGGCACAGAAAAGGAGAGGTGTACTTGTGCTTATCTGAGATCAGATAAGCAACACTTAGTTCTTTTTAGTGTGTGCGTGCGGCGCCTGCAGGACCTGAAGGAACCCGTCCCACCCCCGGCAGACTCTGGTGAACGTGTTCGCGAGAGATAAAGATCTGTGTTAATATTTGTAATAATGCCCTTTGACATTCTGAATTAGGAAGTACTTTATCTGGTTTTATTTTCAAACATCACACTTTACTAAATTGATTTGTAATTATTGCTAGAATTTAAACAAAATGTGCACTCATGTGACGGTGTCTACTCCCTGTGGTTGAACCAGCTTAAGTTTTAAAGATCTCATTACCTATAGAAATGCAAATGACAATGTCTTTGACTTGTTGGAAGAGTCGATGTTACCTAATTGCAGTCATTCTGGAATGTTCCTGCTTCCTGGAACAGACCTAAGACTTTGCATTCTACACCCCCACCCCCAGTAAAAAGCTGTTGGTCAGTCGGGAACCAGGCTTTCAAAAGCGATTTCGGAGGTCACTGTGAAATTAAGAGAGAGGAGTGGCCTCTCAGAACCTCTGGCTCGAGGTTGGCCTTCCACAGAGGAGGGACTTCCTACAGTGAGTGAGACCTGGGCTTTTCTATCCCAGAGACCTGGCCGGTCACTCAGCCCCTTAACAGGTCATGCTCACTGCGAGCTTCCAAGCCAGACTCATGGTATTCGGCTTTTATCAAAGAAAAGAAAAAATAAATCTGATTAACATCAGAGCCAACACAACCTAAATTAGTTCTTGAGGGTCCTTGGCTCCCCTTCGGGCCCCCTCTCCCAGCTCCACGGCTCCCACAGTCAGGCTTGCACCGCCCCTCACTGGCCTGCGCTCTCGTCTGGTCCGGTCTCCCAGGCCTCCCACCCTACCCAGGGATACAAAGCTGGCCTTCCCCACACTCACAGGGTTTGCTATGAGCCAGGCACTGTGCAAGTGCCCTCTGGAGATTACTCTCTTAATTTTTCACATTCACTGAGCAGTTAGGTAATATGGTTGGTCCCATTTTTCAGATGGCTCATAGAAACAGTGGGTCTGATTCCAAACCTTCGGCCCACTCAGGATGCTTCAGCTATCCTGCTCACCGGCACTGGCACTGGCCTCTCTGACTCAGGGAGCCCTGGTGGTGTGGCTTCCTGCTCCTCCTACCTGTGGAGATGCAGGACTTGCCGTTGTCATCCAGGATGTACCCACTGGCACAGGAACACACCACGGAGTTCTGCTCCTCCCTGCAGAACTGGTCGCAGTCCCCGTTGTCCAGGCTGCAGAGTTTTCTCGTGACTGTAGGAGGAATATTGGTTCTCTGGACAGGCTTGGGAAATGGAGGCTGCAGCTGGCCAGGAGAAAGGACAGCAGCCCCCGGGAACATGAACCCACCCAGGAGCCCTACAGTAGGCCATCCCGCTAGAACTAAGGGCCAGAGCCATGCAGCTGATACAAACAGCTGGTACAAACAGGCCAGGCTGCCCAGAGCAGTCTGGCGGGGGGGGGGGGGGGGGGGTGGTGGTGAGGGGACCATGCCTCTCCTCTGTGTGAGCTTTCTCAGTGCCCAGACAGCATGGGGAAACCATGGCAAGCACTCAGGGAGTGCTGAGTGTCTGCCAGGCCCTGGGCACCAGACTTCCAGAAGGTCCTTAAGTAATCTGATCATGCTTAGTGAGGGCCCTGGAGGCTGGGAGGATCTTAAGTTCAGCCCTAAATAGACTCATAGGTCCTCTCCAGCATGGATAGGCCACCTGCAGGAGCAGGGGTTTCTGGGCCAGGAGTTGAAGGGGCCTGGCAGAGTGGCCAGAGGCCCATCCACTCTGAGTCTAGGACACCCCTGTGCAATACGGGCCTTGGAGACAGGGGTCTGCTCCAGTGTGGCAGGAAGAAGAAACAGGCGCGTACATCCTGGAGTCAGGCCAACCCGAGTTCCAAACTGGTCCTTCCATCACTTGTTGGGTGATTTGGGAAAGTTATTTAAACCTATGGGCCTCAGTTTCCTCACTTGTAAAGTGGTGGAGGTCATGCCACCTCACAGGATAATCTCATAGGTCATGTGATGCTCTTGGCACAGGGCCTGTGTGGAGCCGTGCTCCCCGGGTCAAGGCCAGGTTCCTGGACCTCAAGGCGTGGCTGAGTGCATCCCCCGCAGTTCAACAGCTCTGACTAAGCCAGAGTCACCCACCTGCTTCCTGCATTCACTGAACATCAAACTCCAGACATCAGTGATGCTACCCTGGCAATTTATACTCCAAAGATGGGTTTTGATGAAAAAATAATTACAGTGAAAAAATCAACATTAATAAACTTTAGAAAACATTCACAATGGCCCTGGGGTCAGCCAAGGGTGAGCAGGAGTGGCAGCTCTAAGATTTAAGATGAAATGATGCATAATTAATATTCCCATCAGAGACAATTCCAAAGTAATCCAATCCAAGAGCACATTCTAAAGATGATAAATTAAGTACTTTAAAAGAAATGCAAATCTTTCTCTTTAGGGAAAATTGGTCTAATGTTAACCTAATTTTTATTTAAAAATAAATCACCGCCTGGCCGGTGTGGCTCAGTAGTTGAGCATTGACCCATGCACCAAGAGGTCGCTGGTTCGATTCCCGGTCAGGGCACACGCCCAGGTTGTGAGCCTGATCCCCAGTGGGGGGTATGCAGGAGGCGGCCAATCGATGTTCTCTCTCATCACTGTTTCTATCTCTCTCTCCCTCTCCCTTCCTTTCTCTAAAATTAATAAAGAAAAAAAAATTAATCACCAATTAGGAAAACTCAGTGACTTTCCGTAAAATTAATTAAATATTTAAAATGTTTATATTTGGACAATCCTGAACACTAGTATCGACATTTGCACTAATAAAGGTCAGTGAGCCCTGGCTGGTTTGGCTCAGTGGTGAGAGCTTTGGTTTGTGGACTGAGGGTCTTGGGTTTGAATCTCAGTTAAGGTCACATACCTGGGTTGCAGGTTCGAGCCCAGGCCTCTGTCAGTGTTGTGCAGGAGGCAACCAATTGATGTATCTCTCTCTCTCTGTCTCTCCCTCCCTTCCTCCCTTTCTCCCTTCCACTAACCAATGGACATAGACAACAAAGCTGGGGATGGGGCAGGGGGATGGGAAGGAGGGTGTCAATGGGGTAAAAGGAGAAACATCTGTAACAAATTAATAAAAATAATTTTTAAAAAATCAATGAAAAAATATCTTTGGGTGAGGATTAACAACAACAACAACAAATAAATGCAAGTGAAAAGTGGTGATTTAGAATCATTGCCCAGGACCACAAGGAATACCAGTCATAGCGGTAAGGGTTATATTCTACTCCAAGGAAAAAGACAATTGTCGTTTTTATGTTAATAGACCACGTGCTTCATAAATGTTCTACAGCCTCTCTCAGAGGAACAGAGAAGTGACTGCGTGTCTCATTGCACTCTAAAACTGAGTTGATTCGTAGGACATATTGGGGCTTTTATTTTATTTTTATTTTTTTGCTCTTACTATAGTGGCCCATCATAATGGAGCACAGACTCTAAGTCAGAAGTGGCATGCAATTGTTTCCTTGGGCATTTTAGCTTTTTCTCCTTCCCATCTTTGATTCTTCAGGTAACTCTGACTTGAAGGCATACCAAGAAAAGGAACTCACACAGTTCACAGTTTTTGCCTTCAAATCCTTCCATACACTCGCACGTATATTCCCCGAGGCCATCTTTACACATGCCCTTATTCATGCAAGGGCTACTTTCACACTGGTCACCATCTGCAAAGAAAAGATGTGGCAATTTCCGTCATCATGGAAATGACTTTGCTGTGTTGATCTTGGCACACATTTTTCAGATAACTTGCATGAACTTGGAATTCTTCCTGTTTCCTGTAAATAGTTTCTCCCACCTGAACTTCATTTTATCCCCACCTTTCGTTATGTGTACGTGATGCTCTTATCTAACTGGATCATCGACTGAGCTTTCCCGTTTTTGCTGAAATGTTTGACAGTATTTTTACATCGGAGTGAGGAGCTCAGGGCCGGTGACCACGTGGGACCAGCCGGAAGGAGGCAGGACATGTGATTGATTGCCTGACACTTTTTTTGGGCTGAGCACTGATGAGAGAGATGTTAGGGTTCCTTTTTCCAATTGCTCTGGGGGTAAAATAAGAATGCAGAGACAGCTGCCCAGCACTAACACAGGACTTCCCGTTTCTTGGTGCATTTGTACAATCTAATTTAGAGATAAGTCTAATAGTCATTTTGAGAAATTTGAATGCTGTTACCAAAATGAAAACATTAGTCATGATTAATATAATTTCAGGTGCTATAAACATTAAATCAATGCCCTGGCCAGTTTGGCTCAGCGGTTAGAACGTCGGCCTGGGGTCCGGAGAGACCCGGGTTCGGTTCCCGCTAAGGGCACGTGCTTCGGTTGCAGTTTGTCCCCGGCCCTGGTTGGTCGTGCGGGTGGCAGCCACTCGATGTGTCCCTTCGTGTCGATGTTTCTCTCTCTCTCTCCTTCCCACTCTATCTCTCTATCTGTACAAAAAATGGAAAAATATCCTCGGGTGAGGATAAAAAACAAAAACAAAAACATTAAATCAAGATAGTTACCTTATTAGAGGATCCAATCTTTCAGATTCTTTTTTTTTTAAATTAATATACTTGGATTTAAAAAATCATCACCAAATTTGGTATTCTCAAATGCGAATAAAACTGACTTAAATCTATATTTAAGTAGCAAAATTAGGATTAGTAGAAAATTACTATAAAAACTATTTTACAATAACTGTTATGAAAATACTCAGTGGGGAAAGTGCTGAATAAGTATGATTTAAACAGGAACAGAAAAGTAATTCAAGAAGCATTTTCAAAATTCAAACACAATTTCTCCCAATTGAAATAACTTAATAAAACCTTCTCACGTAAGATTAAAATAGAAAGTATCTCACCTTTGTATTTATTCCAGAATTCATTCTGAAAGGGAAGAAAGATTTTAAAGTACATTAGGGAAAACAGACATTTTACACCAATTAACAACCATAAGTTAGTAACTCAACCTGAATAGGATACTTTCCCACACAGAGGTCGTTTCCTGGAACACATTGTTCTAGAACTATTCACTCTAAAGGGGGAAGTTTTTCAGATCATCTGCATCTGTAAAGCTGTGGCTTTAATCACCATCTCTGTTGAATATTGAAAATTTATTTTCAAGTTAATCACCAAGAAATGGATTATACCAAGAATGGTTTGTTCTGTTTGCACCAATGAACGGTTTTTAGTTGAAATACTTTAGTCAAAGCTTCAATAAAGGATTGAATTATTGGTGAATATTCACGGTAATTTAAAAGTGAGAATTGGTAATTAACTTAAAACAGGGCATCAAGAATCTATATTACACTAAAAGATGTTCATAGTCTTAAATTTTTCTTTTGCTGTCTGTAGTAGGTTAAATCAAACTGGCAACCTCTTGGTGCATGGGTCGATGTTCAACCACCAAGCCACACCGGCCAAGCTCACATTAACGTTTCTCTCTCTCTAAAAAAAAAAAAAATCAGTAAAAACAAACATATTTAAGAAAACAACCCTGGTGATACCTTAATGTCTAACCTGTGGCCTCTAACACTGAGAGAGAAAACAAATTTAAGGTACTCAGTTTGTAGTCTTATTTTGCCTTTTTTTTTTTTTTTAGTGTCATAAGGTGGAAGCTTAGAGTATCAATTTGAGACCTTTCTACTTTTCCAATAAAAACTTTTAATGCTATAAATTCCCCTATAAACACTATGTTTCTGTGTCCCACAGATTTTACATGTTGTATATTCATTTTTGTTCAGCTGAAAATATTTTCTATTTTCCCTTGAGACGTCCTCTTTGACCCACAAATTATTTAGAAGTGTGTTGTTTGATTTCCAAATACTTGGAAATTTTCCTGTTATTGGTTTTTGGTTAAGTTCAGTATGGTCAGATAAAATTTTATATGATTTTAATCGTTTAAATTTGTTAAGACGTGTTTTATGACACAGAATAAGGTCTATCTTGTAGAAAGTTCCATGGGTGCTTGGCAAGAAAGTACATTCTGCTGTTGTTGGGAATCCTATAACTATCAATTAGATTCAGGTCAAATAATGTCTGGAGAACTGGAGGGAAAAAAATTATAAACTCACAATTCTATGGTACTTTGAATTCTAGTCTTCTTCAATACACTGCTGCTAGTTACTTTTCAGGCTCCTCAAATAGTTACTCCATACAGTCTATCCAGGTTTTGTAGCTATGTTCAGTGGGAGACAAGGTAGAGTGCGCTTTCTTCATGTTACTTGGAACCAGAACTTGTTGATAACCTTTGACCCAGTAATCCTTCTCTGGAGCAGCTATTCTTAGAAAATAATCCAGAAGAAATATATATATATATATATATATATATATATATATATATATATATATTTGTGTGTTTTCATAATAGCACTATAAAAATAACTTACATGGCCAAAACATGAGAAAAATAAATATGTTGATACAATAATTCAGCTCTTTAAAATTATAAGTATAGTAGCAATATATAAAAGTAAGGAGGAGTGTTTGGGAAATGATGCTGAGAAAAAAAGTAGCACCTAAATTTGGATTGGCATTACTCTACTTTCATTATTTAAAAAATACTATGTGAAACAACTATGAGGTATCACCTCACACCTGTCAGAATGGCCACCATCAACAAATCATCAAACAAGTGTTGGAGAGGGTGTGGAGAAAAAGGGGACTCTAGTACACTGCTGGTGGGAATGCAGACTGGTGCACTATGTTTTCCACTATGGAAAACACTATGGTGTTACCTCAGAAAGTTAAAAATTGAGCTGCCATTTGACCCAGTGATCCCACTTCTAGGAATATACTCTAAGAAACCTAAAACACCAATCAGAAAGAATATATGTACCTCTATGTTCATAGCAGCACTATTTACAATAGCTAAGATCTGGAAACAATCCAAGTGTCCATTAGTAGATGAGTGGATTAAAAAGCTGTGATACGTGTACACAATGGAATACTATGCAGCTGTAAGAAAGAAATATCCCTTATCCTTTGAGATGACCTGGAAGGACCTGGAGAGTATTATGCTAAGCGAAACAAGCCAAGCAGAGAAAGACAAATATCACATGATCTCACTTATATGTGGAATATAATGGACTAAACAAATTGCTGAACAAAATTAACCCAGAGACATGGAGGTGGGGTATAGACTGACAAGCCTCAGAGGAGGGGGGTTTTGTGGGGGAAGAGATAAACCACAGAACTTACATGCATGTATGCATGATCAATGAACATAGACTACAAAGTTGGGGATGGGGGGAAGGGGAGGAGGGTGTCAATGGGGGAAAAATGAAAAACATCTGTAACAAAAACAAATTAATAAATAAAAATTAAAAAATAATACTATGTATGTGCAAGTGAACTAAAGGAATATTTTTTAATGAAAATAATCCTTGAAATTATGAATAACTGAAAAAATAGACAAATCATTTATTTGGTAATGAGTAAAAAATGAATTCTCAATTCCTCTTCTCTCTTTTGGTGGCTATAAAGAACACTGGTAGTCAAATGGGTAGAAACATACAATAATCCCTTGCAGACCTTGATCTTTTGCAGAAATACAAAGATATCTCAGTCACACAACTTACAATTACTGTTTTCTAGACAGAAATGCCAATTGTGTTTTCCATTGTATTAGTGGTTGCTACATTTTCCTTCCTAGCTTCAGATTTTATGGTAGGAAACACAAGTACTTCTTTAATGTTACTGGAGTCTGTAAGAAACATGGTGCTGCAGTCAGTACCCGTGCTACCACCAGCTGTGGGCATCTTGTGGCAGTATAGAGCTTCTAATCTATGAACTAGGCCTCCTCCTCATTAGCGGCTTTGGCCTGTCCTTCTTGACCATCCTTCCTTCCTCTCTCCCTCCCTCCCTTTGAATTTTTAAAGTTTATTTGAGTCAAAACTGATGATAGTTGCCAGGAAGCAAGATTTCAAACACTTCTGTTTTGTTCTTTAAAAACTGCTTGCTGCTGCAGGGAACTATTTAACTCATTGTAGGTACCTCACACTTCTTTCTTCATGACAAGTAACTCAAAGTGCTCAGTGAGACCCAGAGTCCATTTTGCCAGAGTCTCATTATCCGTGGGTGATCACAGATGAATATGGGATTGTCACACCTCACCTTCAGGTACTCGTTGACAATATTATCAAAGAGTCTGGCTATGGTCTGAGGTAGAGGACATTCAATAGTGTTTGCCACACAAGTATTATTGAGAATTTTTTAAATCTCTTTAGTTCTGAAGAGGTTAGTTTATGGCTTCTTCTGTCAGGTTAGTTTCTCCCGGAGCATTCTCAAGTTCTTCTAACATGCTGACTTTCTGGAAGGATGAGGTAAAGTCAGTCTCATGGGTTTGGCCTTCTGGGCCATCAATGGAGGATCTCATCTATAATATGCTTCACCATCCCTGATATAATCGCCATGATCTCATTAGATAGATTATAACAATCTGCAGAGGCTCTATAAAACTCACAGGTGGTGAATTAAAGTCAAATCACTTGGAATTGGCATCCAATTTCACAAACTGGATTAATACCACTGGCCACCAGCATCTTATGGCAGAGTTCTGGAGCAGTTCTTACACGTAAGTTCTTGTCCAGCTTATTGTGCTAGGTAATGAAAAGCTTGGCCACATCTCCCCTAGATGACAGTCATCCTAGGATTTCAGTGTCTAGGAATCCCAATTTACCCAAAAAAACTTCTTATACATGTGATGCTCTTACTGATGATGACAAATTTCTTCTTCATAAAGTCATTCGGGTTCAAGCCCAAGTTTTCCAATGATAATGTGTTTACTTGTCTTTAAGGCCCAAGTGAGGATGGAGTGATATATATAAGCAAGGAGGCAGCAGTGTGATTTTGTAGAGAAGGACACTTAGCGAACTCTTTGATTTTTCCAGGATTCTCTTGAACTCCAATTATGTCTCCCTGAGGCAGTCTATTATCCATAGGAATAAATTCTTTTTCTGATTTAAAATTCCTTGAATTGCCCATGTTCTTGAAGATCACAAAAGATGAACTTCCCCTAGAAACTCTTTTGATATGGACCCTACCTACTGCCTTTAAGGTGATGTTGGGTCAGGTGATCCAGGTACAGCAAGTGACATGGAGCCTGTGTGGTGTGGGTCTCCTCAGCACCCAGCATCTGTTAGATGCTCAACTGCAGTCTTGCAGTGTGAATGGGGGAGCAGGGTGGTGATCTACTGTCAGTAGTGTTGTGTTGGCGGCAGTAACTTGACCTAGTGTCTCTTGAAGAGCTCCTGCCTGGCCTCCTCTGCTTCTTTTTTCTCAGCTTTCAGTTCTTTCTTGCCCAGTTTCATTCATTGCCACCCACTGCCACCTCACTTCTTCATAGTGGCCATCTTTCCCGATGGCCCTACTCAAAGTGGGTGAGGTTCATTAGTGACTTTCAGGAAAGTGACAAGGCCCCACCTATTCCAGAGGGGAGGGAGAGGGCACCTTTGGAGCTGCCACCTTTGCTGCCGTGCAGGTGCCCTTGTAGGGTCTCATGGCCCACCTGTTGTCATCTGTCATGCACCTGCAGACAGTTGCTCTTAAGGATGCAGCTCAGGTGCCCAATATGTCTGCAGCCGTGGATTTGGGCAAAAATCCAATGGGTCCTCTGTGTGTGTGTGTGTGTGTGTATGTGTGTGTGTGTGTGTGTGTGTGGCCCAGCCCAGGGAGATGTTGGTTGAGGGCATGAATAATTTTTAAATAAACTTGTTATGCTTTAGAATTTATTTAACAATACCTTCAGATGTTCTCATAAGTCTTATAACCGATTTCAGGCCATACCTTCTTCTCAGTTTCCCACCCATGAAACAGGTTGATGTGCGGTGGGTGAGGAAACAGGAAGGAATGCTACTGCACGTAGGAGACAATCTCTCCACTCCCCACATCAGAAGGTCTCTCCCGGGCTCTTCTCTGCGGGCTGAGGCCACAGCACAGAAGGGCATGCAGTGGGGGCCCAGCATGGGCTACACTGCCTGCCTCCAACAGAGCGGTAACCAGGGCCAGACAGCATCCCCGTTCGGGCCCAGCATGGTCCCCAGTGGAGCTCCCTTACCGTCATCTCAACATTCTCAAAGACTTCTCGGGCCTCTTCATAGGAGCAAGTCTCTTCCACACACTCTCTTTCAAGGTTGCCTTTCTTCATCTCCTCTAAAAATGAATTCGCCCTCCGGACCCTCTCCATGACTGTGTTGGCACGTTCCCGATTAATGAACACTGGAAGACAGGGAAGGACACAAAGCACCATATCAAATTAGCTGCTCTCCCTCAGCCTGTAGTATCGTGTCACCTCCATGCTGCAAAAGACAGAAAACTCCTTCCTCACTCACTAAGGCAGCTGGGAAGGAAATGCCCATCTCCCTCATGACTCCTTGAGTTACAGTATGAGGCACCTGTTCTAGGTCCCACACACAGAGTAAACACACCCCATCCAATCAACTTACCATCCTCCCTGCACATCCACACCCAGCCTTAGGGTGGTCAACCCAAACCCTCTTTCTTGAACTTTCCCTTCAGAGTGGTTCCAGGTCACTGTCACGCCCCCTGACCCCAAGCTCTCTGTGTTTTGTCTCAGGCTATAACTCTCCACTCTCATGCCCATTCCGAACCTCACCTACTCTTCAAAGTCTCAGTTCTGAGTCAAGTGGGGAGTTGTGATACTGTTTTGATCATGATCTACAATTAAAGGTATGATTTATATCAAGTCCCAGGACTCATGTAAACGCAATTAAAACAGAAGTTTCAAGAAACGGTACTTACTACTATTTTCTACAAAGCAGCACTTAATACAAAATTTTTTACTTAATTCTGTTCTATTTCATTAAAAAAAAAAAAATCCCGCTACACTGACTTCATGACTTAAAATGAGTCATGATCTGGCAATTACAATGTCTCAGGTCAGAGCCTCTGGATGTCCCTAGAGTCTCCGTCTACAGCTGAACTGTCCCCACCACTCTGCCTGAGTCTCATCTGTCCTGCCCGTACCCACTCCGTTTCTTCTCTTTGTTGTGATACAGGGGGCCCTCAGATTCTTTTCTTCACCCTCTGCACCCCTCTCTTTGCTCTCCGCGGAAGAATTCAGAGTCTCAGCGTAACACTCCTCGAGCTGGTGTTTCTAGTCCCGACTTTCCTCCTAGCTCTGCTTCCCTCTCTCACCCTGATGGCTGTCTCTCCTCACCTCAGAACCCCAAACTCCCATGTCCAAAAGGGAAAACAAAACCCCAGTTCTGCAGAATCAAGAAGGCTTCAGTTTCTAATCCATCTTGGTCACCTACTACTTAATATTGCCAAATGGAAAGTACAATACACATTTACTTCTTAGAGTTACTTTAAAGAATGTACACAACTAGGGTTCAGGTTGGTACACATTAGGTGCTCAATAAAGATTAGCTTCGTTCCTACCTCAAATTACTTTCCCTTCCAAATCCCTCCTTTCTTTAGTGACATCAGTGTTATTCCAACATCAGGCTCAGATTTGTTCATTGTGTGCCCCTCCCCCACTACTTCGAATATCTGCTTCAATACCAAGTGCTTGCTTTGAAACAAAATCCACACACCAGTTTCTGCCCTCCATCATTCCCCTATGTGGGTTTTTTCTCCCTGATCTGTTTTCCTCTTTCACTCTCTGACTTTTGGCCACTTTCTCATCTGCCGCACACCTGGGTCCCTCTGTCGGCTCCTCGGTGCTCCCGTCCTTGTGCTTGACCCAGGATGCCAGCAAACCCCAGGGGTGATGCCATCTCTGCTCTCTCCTCTGGTTTTGCTTCTCTCCTTTCTGAGACTTTTCTCTTTGGACAGGCCCTGGGGTCCTGGAAGGTCCAGAGACCGCCATCTGTCCAGCCTCGTGTTGGGCAGCCCCTTCCCTTGGCTGAGCCAGCCTGAGGACGGCGACACTGGCTTCTCCCTCTTTCTTGTCCCTGCCATGGAAACTCCTCTCTGCCTGTGCCCGACCCCTTGCCCTCCTCTGCCCCAGCCCACTCTGGAGAGGAAGGCGACTTCGCTGTCTCTGCCTGCCACCCCTCTCTCCCTGCCCTCTCCCTCCCTCTCTGCTCTCTGTCTTTGTCTGTTTCTGCCTTTCTGTCTTGTCTCTGCCTCTCTCCCTCTTTCTCTGTCCTTGTGTTTCTATCTGTCTTTATGACCTCTGACCCGCCGTCTGACTCTTCACCCCCGGGAGGCACGTCTGGCCCTATGCTGCCTTGGCTGAGACCACCAAGCCCAGCTGTCTCACGTCAGCCTTTGACACTATCCACACCGTGGAGGTTTAAGGGCATCGCCCCAACTCCCCACCCTCTCTCTTCCTCCCTGAGGCGACCTCTGTGATCTGCAGGTTGAGGGGTGCTTACCACTTCCCCCTTGTACCAGGAGGCTAGCCAGTGAGGCCCTTAACAGGATGAGGCACAGCAGGTCGGCCATGGTGTGGGCTAGGGTAGCGTCTCTGTCCCCACTGTGACAGGCTCCAGGGCAAGGTTCACTCACCCTGGCTTGGAGGGTGGATGATTGTCCTTCTGCTTATCACAGCCTTCTGATTGGAGCCGGGGCCAGCCGTGGGTGAGGGACAGGGGCAGGTGACTATGCTAGGGGCCTCGTCACCTGGACTGTGCAGCCCTGGGGAGGTCCCGGCAGAACCTTGTCAGTAACATGTCCAGTGGGGCCTGCTCTGGACATAGGCACTTTTTATTCTATGAAAGTAAAAATGTGATTTTATAGTTTTCAGACATTTATGTGTGACTCTTATTTCATCCTTAAAATCATGATAAAAGCCAAGAATCATTTACCTTATCTTTTCTCCAGAAGAGAAAATTGAGGCTTAGGGAGAGGTGAAGTGTCTGTGGTACATGTGGGATTCGAACCTGGGACTCCCACCTCAGTGCTCTCTGCCCACAGGCCTCTCTCTCCAGGTGCTACCTGGTGGGATCCCACAAAGGGCCTCTAGCACAGAGGGTCCTGGGGCCTGTGCTTCGCCGGCATGTCAGGCTTGTACCCTTCCGTGCCACGTGAGTCCTTGGGCACAGGCCCCCTACACATAGGAGGGTACCCCTGCCCGGCGTGCCTGGAGGAGATTGCTCTGCTGGAACCCCAAATGATCTGTTGACCACAGGACGAGTCGGCTCACGGTCAAGAGGGGCTGTGCCAGGAGGAGCTCCTCGGTGTGTCTCTCAGCCCCGTGGCTAAGCCATGGAGGCACACGGCTTCTCTTATCAAGTTGACCTCACATACTCTACGGGGGGCCGGGTTGGGGACAGCAGGAGAGCGAGCCCTGAGTCACAGGCTTCACAGTGTAGCTCATTTCTCACTAAGTGAAGCTCAGGTCAGGTCATCTGGGAGAGAACTTGAAGGGTGGCATGGTGCCTGAGCACTAGGGTCCGAGGCAGTATCAGCATCCAGCCCCTCCCGGAGGGTCCCACTCTCCACCCCCACATGCAGGGCCAGGAATCTGGAAGGCACCGTCTCCAGGGAATACAGGAGTCTTGTTCCTTGGCTCTCATTAAGGTTGTGTCTCTTGGCAACAAGTGACAGGCATCAGGGAAGGGCAGATCACCTCGGCACCAGGCTGGGGAGGGAGGTGTGTGTGCTGTGCAGTGGGTCCTCTCTCCCAGTGCAGAAGCCTCTCAGGGGCATCAAGCGTGGGCACACAGCCTGAGCTTCTGGGCTGACAGGGTCTCTGCAGCCAGACTCCAGGCTCTGGAGGAGAAGGGCAGGAAGTGGCTGGCAAGGCATGTGCTGGGCTGAAAAGGAAGGAAACAGAGACAGAAAGAGACGGCCCTCTATTCCACAGTGCCCATCACTCACAACACATTCTGCACATGGTGACTGATTATCCAAGGCCCATGGTTACTTGGATATAAGTCTTATCATCTGGCTTGTTTGTTGCTCTGTCTCCAGCACCAAGAGGGGTGTCTGGCACACAGCTGATGCTCAAAAAACACCAACAGATGGAGTGAATCAGTTCAATCATAAAACGTCCCTGCTCTGAGCACTGAGGCCAGGCTGGTCTTTTGTGGAGTGGTCACTATGCCATGTAGAGCCTGGTCCTCAGAGACAACCTGTAGTTGGTGCCTTGGGCCTGTCTCACCTGGTCAGTTTGTACTTCCATGTTGTTTCTGGATGAATTCAGCATGTGGAAGGAGGCTGGATTCTGTGTGAGCCCCTCCCTGTCCCCAACACCTGTTGTGCCAGAAATGATCTGATTGCCATTTCAGAAATGACCTGAAAGATGGAGATGATCCATAATGGTTAGAGTATCTGTACGTCAAGTGTTAGCCTTCAGGGGTTGTCCCCATGTTGCTTGGCACCCAAGCTTACAGCAGCTCTGTGAGAGGGAGGCTTGTGTCATCCATGGATGGCTGGGGAAATTGAGGCAGAACCAGTGACCCACCAGGACCATGCTTACCCTCATGTGGGTCTGGGGGCCTCCTGGCCTGGCCACTTCAACCTCATCCCCTGCTTTTTTCGCCCCCAGGAAGAGGGTCCAGAGAGCTTTCCTTTCTGGGAGGAAACAAGAGGCCCCCTGGGCTTCGGGCCTCTGGAGCTCTCTTGCACGTTGGTTGCAGAATTTCCCCTGAGTGTCTGTAGCCTGGTCAGCTGAGCTGGGGGACATCTGGATGTTTGAAAATCAGCATTACTGTCCACGATGACATGTTCGAGTTCTCCCAGATGCCTCATTCCACGTGTGCTGGTCTCATCCTCATGGTTGCACTGAGGTGTGCTCCCATTTTACAGTTGAGGTAACAGGCACAGAGAGGTTAAGCAGCTTGGCCAAGAGTTACAGGCGGAGCCAGACTGACTCCAGAAGGTCTGGCCCTATGTCAGGTCTCTTAAAGTGCATGTCCGACCTCTTGGTGAGATCCCTAAAAAATACAGCCTGACCAGGGCAGCAACCCTGTTTTGTAAAGGCCCAGATCATACATTAGGTTTGATGGTCTTTTTGGTCAGTCTGTCTCTGTCCCAACTACTCAGAACTGTAGTTTTAAGCAGCCCTGGATGATTTGTAAAGGAATGGGTGTGTCCCAATAAAACTTTATCTACAAAAACAGGTGGCTTGGACTCCGCCTTAGCTGTAGCTTGCAGACCCTGGGCTACTGAAAACTAAAACTAAAACTAAATATGGCCTGTGCAGCAGAGCAAGTCCTGGCACCCTAACTCACACGTGTTAAGTACTGTTGGTGTTCCAGGCATGGGGCAGGCCAGTTGCCATCCTCCAGTTGTGTCTTGGGGGTGGGGGTGGGGGGGTTCACCCACTGGATTTACTCCATACACTTTTGCCAAGTTCAAGTGGGGCCCACTTGAACTTTGATGTTTGTATTATTCTTCCCTACCTGAGACCCATGTGCCCTTAGGTTTAGTGTGTTCATAATCACCTGAGGGACTTGATAAAAATGTAACTCACCAGGTTCTACCGCCCCCAGACCCCATTGATCTGGGCAGAATGTGGGAGTGTCCCTGTGGTTCTCAGACAGGTGTCCCCAGGGACTATCTTTGAGGACTGTCCTTGACCAGGGCCTTGGCAGGCAGAGAGCACCCAGTTCTGTAGGGTTTTGGGGAACTACAGCCTCCAAAATCCATCAGAGAGCTCTTGGTTTTAAAATCCAACCACCGGGCAAAACTATTCATTTCTGTGATGTTACCAACAGCTTGACGATACTCGCCAGGGACTCAATGAAATGAATACAGACAATCCTTGAATGACAGGCTACCAGGAAAAAAAATGCACTGAGGAGATTCAGTTGTTTGTTGTGAATGTTTCATGTGGCCCATTTTATGGTAAAAGATATTTATACAGAACAAATCTGCAAGGATATCCATCAAAGTGAATGCATGACGTTTCCAATTTATTTGAAACAAAGATGTAATACTTGCATGAGAGAGGAGAGAGAGAGAGAGAGTTAAAAGACAGCCCTTACAAAGCAGCACACATCACCAGGTGAGCTGCGATGCGCATCCCTCCAGGAGCCGCAGTAAGAACGCAGAAGCGGCAGGCGAGGTGCGGTCACATCTCCATCCCCCGCAGCAGAGCTTCCTGTCTCCCTCATCCACTGTCCTGGGTCTCATCTTTCTATCTACTCAGTCTGTCTCTGTGAATCTCTGAGTCTCCTTCTCTCTCCATCTCCTTAGAATCTCTCCCCTCAGTTTCTCTCTGTCTCTTCATCTCTCTCGCCCCCTCTCATTCTCTCCTCTCTCCTGGGTCTTTCTCTAGCTTGTTTCCATCCTCTCTGCATCTCTGTCTCTCTCCATCCCTCATTCTCTTGGTCTCTTCTCTCTCTCTCTCTCTCTCTCTCTCTCTCTCTCTCTTTCTCTCTCTCCCTCTCTCTCTCGTCTCTGTTTATCTCCCTATCCTCACCCCAACAAGGGCAGAAGAACTGACAGGATTTGAAACCAGGACAACCCAAGCAACAGTGGCTTCATTTCGCAGGAGCAGGGCCCACGGAGCCAACACTGAGGCCTAGGGGAACGGGGCTTGGAGGTAGATTCCTGAGTGTTCTTTGGAGCTCATGAGCCTGGAGAGCCACTCGATGTACTGGGAGACCCTGGTGTACACCCCGACTTGGCCTTTGGCTGCACAGCCCACACCCCAGCTGACGACACCTGTTAGATACCATGTGCCCTGGAACTTGGTGGCGTGTGGGCCCCCGCTGTCCCCCTTGCAGGCGTCCTTGCTCCCATCTAGGTAACCAGCACAGAACATGTTCTCCGTAATCTCTGGGAAGCCCTCCTGCCTCTTAGACTGCTCCAGGCAGTCCTGGGTCATCATCCTGGGCACGTCAATGGTCATAAGTGCCAGGGACATGGCGCCCTTCTCGAGGAGATTGCCCCAGCCACTGACGGACGAGAATCGAATGAAGGCCAGCGTCCTCTCGGAGAAGGCCTTCTCGGGCAGGCAGAGGGGCACTGCGTAGTCCGTGAAGGCCACAGGCTCGCTCAGGCGGACCAGGGCAATGTCGTGGTTAGTCCTGCGTTTGACGTACTTGCTGGGGACAATGACCTGAACGACTCGCCGCTCCTGCTCATCGCCATCCTCCTCTATCAGGTTGTGCTCACCTGTGGAGACACCAGCAGTGCTTATGCCCCTTGCCCTGCAGCCTGAGGGAACAACCATTCCCAAACCTCAAGGGAGCTGGGACTTCCTTTGGGGCCGGAGGGGCCCTGCATCTAACCTGAAGCTGATCTGGGTGGCCACCGTTGGGTTCCATGCAGAGCGTGCATTGGGGGTGAATCTGGAACCTGGGGTGCTGAAGGCATTGAGGAGGGGTGCTGGGCCAGACAGCTGTGGGTAGGTGGGGAGGACTGCCTGATTCCCTCGGTCCAAACAGGGCCTGGCTCTCCCTGGGGGTTCTCATTATCCCATAACTCCACCAAGCAGAGGCCCTCCCATGGTGGCCCATGGAACCCTAGGTGGCTGCATCCCCCACAGGGCTCTTGGCCCAAGCAAGACAGGTGGGTACAGCATCACCTTCCAAGTCTTTATTTGGGGTGCAAAAGAGGCTGAGTGGAGGGTGCCACCGTGGTTCCTTGTGGGCACTGGGGTTTGTCCAGATCCTGCCCACTTCTCTTTTGCAGAAGTTCATCTGGCTGCGGAAGTTGGAGGATCAATGCCCAGAATCTTAGACCTGAATTGTTATCACTCGAGAACTGGTTTCTCATCAGAAGGAGGTAAAAACAAAACCTACCCACAACTGCCGTCAGGTTCCCCCAGTTGTGAATTCTGTCGAAACAGTGGGCTGCGGAGACCACCCAGATGGAGTCAATCAGGGTGCCCCCACACATCACCTCCCCGTTCAGCTTCAGCGCAGCCTGACAAGGGCACAACAGATGTTGGAAGGTCACATATTTGTCCTTGGGGTCCCCTTCCTGGAGAATCACCTTTGCCCTGCACCCTCAGGGATGGGCTGCATTTATAGGAGGGTTTCTGAAATCCTCGGGGGCTCCCTAGAGCCCTTCCTGGGCGAAACTTTTCCAACTTCTCTCCAGCAGTCTGTTTCCCCATCTAGCTAAGGGAAGGAAATCTCACGAACACTGGCCTGGCAATGAAAATGTTGGTGCTGGATCCCTCTGTTCACCTCCCGGTACCGTCACCCAAGCTTGACCCAACATGCCCGACTGGCCAAGCACTGTGCTCCTGGAGCATGTGAGGAGTGACGACATAGCAGAGTGAAGCCCCAAGCATGGTTCTAGGCACAGTAGATGCTCAATAAATGTTTCCTGTCCTTTCTCTTCTTAAAAGCCCAGAGGGTTCTGAGTGGCTTCTTGAATGAATCCTGGCTGCAGACGTTTTCCCTACGGGATTCTCCTGCAATGAGCAAGCCAGCCTGTGGACAGTGAGGAACTGCAAGGCCAGAGGAGGCCCAGCTGAGGGTGAGGCAGACCCACCAGTGAACAGTTCTGGTCTGGTTTTCAACAGTCACCATGTGTTGTGGTGAAGTCAGATCAACCAGGGAGGGAAGAGATTGGAAATGAGGTCCGTCAGTCTGAAGCTTACTGTCCTGAGCTGTGGATGGCAGGACAAAGGGTGTTGGGGAAGTTCCTGTCTCCTCCAAACTGGCAACTACTGGGCCCTCAAAGAAAAAAACACAGGAAAATGCCCCCGTGATGTATGAAAAGAGAGACCTCGAGCTCAGGGCTATAGTCCCTGCCGGTTGAAGACCACTGAAAATCTAACCCTGCCCTGGCTGACGGTGAACCCGCCGCTGCAGCTACAGTGGACCATCTGGGGTGGTTGCAACAAGCTGGATCTGGGCCTCCCGGGCCTAGCTCTCAGCTCTGACTTGGGCAATGCACTGACTCTTACTGGGCCTCAGTTTCCTCACCTACATGGGGCGAGAGCTGTACCTACCTCCCAGGTGGGACTGTGGGGGTTAAAGGGTATTGAGAAGAGAGGTTTGGTGGGGTCGAGCACAGGAAGCACGGGCCGGAAAGCATTGTCCCCTGTGGTCACACCCAGCGAGCCTACCTGAGGCTCCCCACTGTGAATTCACGGGAACCCACACCCCTCAGCTTTGCCTCTACCTCAGAGAGGCTTTGCCATCCAATTACAGGGGACTCTAGTGAACACATCAGTCCTATTTAGATGTGTCTAACTCAGATGATATCTCTGAACATCAAAAACCAGGGCTCTGCAAAGCCAGGGAGTGGGCTCTGGGTTGCAAAGGCCCTACCCAGGCCCCAGCTGCTGTGGGAGGTCAGGTGGAGCACGGAGGGGCCCAGTGGGTGCAACTGCTTCGGAGACTGGTCTGGAAGGGCCGGATTGCTATGAAATGAGATGATTAGAGCTTCCCTGAGCCCAAAGTCAGGCCAAGAGTGACTGGTGACTCCAATTTCTTTTACAAGGTTCTCATTCATTTATTTCTAAAAATTCTTGGCTGTCACCCAGCTGGTGTGGCTCAGTGGCTGAGCGTCGACCCATGCACCAAGAGGTCGCTGGTTCGATTCTCAGTCAGGGCACATGCCCAGCTTGTGGGCCAAATACCCAGTGGGGGGCATGCAGGAGGCGGCCAATCGATGTTCTCTCTCATCGATGTTTTTTTTTTTTTTTTTCAGGTAATATATATATTTTATCTTTATTGATTTTAGAGAGAGAGGGAGAGAGAGATAGAAACAGCGATGAGAGAGAACATCGATTGGCCGCCTCCTGCATGCCCCCCACTGGGTATTTGGCCCACAAGCTGGGCATGTGCCCTGACTGAGAATCGAACCAGCGACCTCTTGGTGCATGGGTCGACGCTCAGCCACTGAGCCACACTAGGTTTCTATCGCTCTCCCTCTACCTTCCTCTCTCTCTAAAATCAATAAAATAAATAAATAAATAAAATAAAATAAAATAAAATAAAATAAATTCTTGGCTGTTTAACTTGGGGTGTCCCAGAATGAAAGGTTAAAGAGGAGTCACTGATCCGGGCTCAGACCTGAGTTTGCAGGTCTCAGAGTGGCAGCCCTTCTCACACTCGAGTGTGCACACATCCCCGGGCTCTCGTAAAATGCAGATGCTGACCCAGTAGGCAGGGGGCCTGAGACTCTGCATGTCCAACTAGGACCAAGCTCATAGGTCGCCTTGCAGAGAGAGGCCCTGGAGGGGCCATGACCCACAAACCTGATCACATGTCGGGGAGAGCCTCCAGGCCTGTGGGAGGACTTGGTTACAGATAAAAATCTCATTGTATGATCTCATTTATATGTAAAATCTAAGAACACAAAACAGAAACAAATCCACAGATACAGAGAACAAGCTGATGGTTGCCAAAGGGGAGGGTGTTGGGTGATGGTAATTAAAAAAATAATAATAATAATAGTAAACCATAATGTCTGGCATACACACACACACACACAATCTCAGCTTCTAGAGGCAGATAGCAGGTAGAGCTAGGAAGATGAGAGAGCTGGGTTCAAATCCTGCCTTTGCCATTTATGGGCTGTATGGCCTCGGTCTCCCCATCTGTAAAAGGGGCGTGAGACTAGCTGCCTGTGAGGAAGCCTTGTGAGGAGCTGAGGCCGCTGACAGGTGCCGCCGAGACCACTGGTGTCTGAGATGAATGGAGGCGGCCGTGGACAACAGGACTCGGGAGTAAAGAGGAAGTCCACTGAAGCACTGCGTGAGCAGGGGCGACCTGGGGCCTGGGTGTGACCCCTGAGTCTGACCTGCCCACTTTCCCTTTGAGGGCCCACGTGACTCTGGGGCCCTGAAACCTTACCTGCCAGGGACACTCCCCTTTGGGACACTCCTTGCCACCCACAATTCGGCCTCGGGCTTGGCTATCATTTCTTTTTTCCAGAACAGGTATTTTCCCACATGGATATTGAACTGTATGAAACAAAATTAAGCGAGAGGTGGAGGTTGATGAGAGACCAGCGTCCATGAGAAGAGGGCCCGAGGCTGCAGGCTGAGGCTCTGCCGGGCTCCTCCTGGGCTGTGGGAGCCTCTGGGCCTGGGCGGCCCTGTGGGAGCTGCTGGGTGAGCGGAAGGGCAGGGGCTGGTTTTGCGGGAACAGAGGGCCCTACTTCTTGAAACTGGGTTCTGCTCATTTTGGCAGGAAAACATGAAGTGCTGTTTGAATTTCCTAAAACACGAATGATACTCTGTCTGACGGCCACCCAGCCTCTCAGACAATCGTGCTGCTATTTTGACCCCATTCCCAGTTTGGGGTCTGCTCCAATAAAGTCCTTGGGCCAGAAAAGAAAGTGTTTAGAGGTGGCAGCTGAATTTCAGACTGCTTTGACCATGCTGGGTACATTTACCTCCAAAGAGACACAGGGCTTGGGGTGCCTCAGCCTTTGGAACTGCAGCCCCATTAGTTTGAGGCGTGTGTAGAGAAGTTTTCTATTTTCCTAAAAGCGTGTGCCTTCAGAAAAGATTTGGAATCCAGAATTGTGCTGTAGTCAGCAGTCACACGTGGGTGTGGCAGTGTCGATCCCAGCAGAGGGGACTGGAAGTGGGGAAGGGTAAGCTTTGTTCTGTTCCTCTGGGCCCACCTAAGATGGGCAGTGGGTCCAAGGCCCACCCAGGGAGCTGCTCCCAGGGCTCTGTTCTGCGCCCTGTTGCCCTGGCCTGCCCTCGGGTCAGGGGAGCCACCTCCGCACTCAGTCTCCTCCCTGCCTCTGAGCGTGTAGTGGTCAGCATGTAGTAGATGCTCAGTTAATGGTATGTCACCCCTTCTCATCTTTTAGCCAATAAAAGAACTTGTGGCAGGAGGGGAATTTGTGACTGCTCATCTGGAAGTGAAACAGCACATAACCCTTGGAGCAGATCCCTGAGGGCCTGTTACCTGTGGGTGCGCAGGACACCTTGTCGTTCTGGAGTGTGTACCCCTCGTGGCACCAACAGGAGCGCTTGGTCTCTGCATGGTTTCTGCAGTACTGCTCACAGCCCCCGTTGTCATTGTCACAGATCAGGTAGCTGTTCTTGTCTGAATACAGAAGGAGACAGCCGAGAAGGGTCTCTGTTGGTCAGGGAAAGCCAGCCCCAGTGGCCACCCCTCCTTGGGCCAGGGACAGCGTTCTGCATGAAAGTGGTGCTCAGCTGCCAGCTAGAGACTGAGCCTGGCACTACCCCACTCTACAGATTGACCCAGAAAGGTGGGACCTGGTGTTTGAGATCTCAGCCATGTCTGAGCAGCTGACCCAGTGGGGACAAAGGGCAGCATGCAGGCGTCTTCACACTGTCACTCATCCCAGCAGCTGGTGGGGAGCTGAGGAGGGCTCAGGGAAAGTAGAAGTCACCTGGGACAGAAGAGGAGCCCCGCTTCATCAGAGACCTGCCAGTGAAAGGGCAGGCAGATGAGGTTGCTCTACAGCCAGGCCCTGACGCCCAGCGACCACTGGCTTGAGCAGGCAGAGAGGAGGGCCGTTCGACCTGACTCTGAGGGACAGCACTTTGGCGTGGGAAACGGGATTGGCTTGCTGTGTAAGTCCAGGACCTCCATTGGGAGGGCTGGTCCTGGAATCGAATTCACACCAGGGCTGCTGAGCATCAAAGGCCAGGCAAAGACACTGAGGCTTTCTAGCCCCATGTAACTGGGAGGAAGCCTCTTTCCAGAGTCTTTCCTTCACTCTATCCGGCCTCTGTTCTGCTTACAGCAGAAGTTGGTTGTGGCCCAGAAGAGCTCATTCCGCATCAGAATGTACACGTGTGTGGGAAAGGATAAACCCTGGCCAAAGAGAAGCCTGGCCTTTGCTCTCAGCCCCTGGGAGGTGACCTCTATACCTTAATTAAGTTGGACACTTCTAATTAAATCTGCCCGAGAAGAGTGTCATTTCCCTGGGTCCCTTGGATGGTCCCTGGATCACACTGGATGGTCTAACAGTATTATCCACGTGAGGCCTTTGGCCACAGGATGTCAGCTCGACCTCTGGAGGGGCTGGAGACTGAGGTCAGACATGTGGGTGGTCAGCCATGTCTATGTGACTGAGCCCCAATACAATCTCTGGGCACCTAGGCTCCGGTGCGCTGCCTAGGTTGGTGATACTCTATCCATCCTGTCACACATCAGCCCTGGAGAACGAGAGACTGTCCGTGTGACTGCCTGGGACAGGATAACTAGAGGTTCACGCCTGGTCCCTTTGCTGATCTTAGTATGTATATTTTTGCTGTAATAAACTGTAACTGTGAATATATCGGTTTTCAGTGAGTTCCGTGAGTCCCTCCAGCCGATTACTGAGCTTGAGAATGGTCTGGGGACCTCTGAACTTGGCAGTTGTTTAATATATGGAAGGTGGAAGAAGCAGCTCCTACCTTTGTAATGGTAAGTAGGGAAGGTCAAGGTTACCCCACCGCCTTGGCTGGCAGGGTGTGTGGAAGCTGGTGACGCAGGGATCCTCCCCTGTGCCCTTTCCAGATGGGTCAGGATTCCCCAGTGCTGGGAGCCCAGAATGGAACGGGGGCAATCGCATTTGAGAACTGGCACCTCAGTACCCCAGAGCCCAGGCTCTCAGGTTGGCAAAGGCCTTCAAAGTCACCTCGACCAACTTCCCACCGGGGCCGGGCGCCAGCTCCATGCCTGCCCAGGCCGTGCCCGGCAGCCTCTCCCGGGGACCCTGTCGCACGCTGTGGGGTTTCTCACTTGTCTCGCAGTTCCGGCCCTCAAAGCCCTCAGGGCAGAAGCAGATGTAGGACTGGAGACTGTCCTCACAGGAGCCTCCATTCTGGCATGGATTTGAGGCACACTGGTCCTCGTCTGGGAAGAGAGGCAGTGTCAGTATGCTGAGGAGACGGCTTGGAGCTGGGATGTAAATGGGCCTTTTACCTACTCACCTTTGTAAGAAATCCAGAACTGCGTCTGGGGGAGGAGAGAGGAAGCCATGAGACGTGTCCCTGGGAGCAAACATTTATGGTCCCCATGGACCGCCCTGAGGAGCTGGGGGGGGCAGGGGGGGCTGGGGCTCCCACCTGGGCCCCTTGCTGTGGGCTCGGGAAGCCAGGCTTTCCTCGGGAGATGCGGGGGGTTCATCTGGGGGAGAAAGTTTTCTCCTCCTCCTCCCTGCCCCGGATCGTTAAGGTCACCAGAGGTCACACATTTCCTTCTTCCAACCTGAGTTTCAGCCCCAGCTAGCCCCAACTCTGCCACGTGCGAGCTGTGAAGCTGGGGCAAGACACACATGCACTCTGAGCCCCCATGTCCTCCTCTGCTGGGGGATCGTCTAAACAGGGCCTGGCACGAGGAGGAGGCAGGGAACGGAGGTCAAGGCCTTCTAGGAACTGCCAAGGACATGACATCCTGAGGAATCTTTTGGCCAACTGAACTCAATCTCACAGGGTTGCCACGAGAATAAAACAAGATAAAAACTGCTGAAACTGCTTTGAAAAACTAACTGGTGCACAGACACAAAGTATGACCATCTTCAATGTGCACAGAAAGGATTGTGTTAGCCTCTGTCTCAAATAGCCCTACTTACTGCTGAGCGTGAGGCGTCCTGTGAGCGTGAGGTGAGGTGTGTCCTGTGAGCGTGAGGTGAGGTGTGTCCTGTGAGCGTGAGGTGAGGTGTGTCCTGTGAGCCTGAGGTGAGGTGTGTCCTGTGAGCCTGAGGTGAGGTGTGTCCTGTGAGCGTGAGGTGAGGTGTGTCCTGTGAGCGTGAGGTGAGGTGTGTCCTGTGAGCGTGAGGTGAGGTGTGTCCTGTGAGCCTGAGTGTGAGACAAGGTGTGTCCTGTGAGTGTGAGGTAAAGCGTGTGTCTTGGTGAGTGTGAGGTGCAGTCTTGTCTATCATAACCTGACCCACACTCCTATTGAAATGCTCAAAGGGATGTGATATATTTTATTTTATTTTATTTAATTAATTAATTTATTTAGTATCCTCACCCAAGGACATTTTTGCATGTATCTTCAGATAGAGCGGAGAGAAAGAGGGAGGAAGAGAGAGAGAGAGAAACATTGATGTGTCTCACATTGACTGGTTGCCACCCACACGACCCCAACCAGGGCCTGGGGCAAACTGCAACCGAGGTACGTGCCCTTAGTGGGAACCAAACCCGGGACTCTGGTCTGCGGGCTGACGCTCTAATCGCTGAGCCAAACCGGCCAGGGTGGGATGCGATATATCTTAAATATGCTCTTTTAGAAAATGAAAACAGAAATGAAGCCTGTATGCATATGGCCCGAGGGCAGGTGGAGGAAGCAGTGGTTCCCTGCATGTGTCCTCACACAAGTTTCCTTGAAGAGGTGCCCACAGGTGGCCTGGCAGCGAGAGGCTCACCTGGTCCAGAGTCTCAGACATCTGCTCGGTCAGCAGCAGCTCTGTGAAGCAGGGGCCGCTTTCGGGACCGGGAAGGCAAGGGACACATGGAGCATGCTTTTCGAACTATATTTTCTGATACAAAATTTAGGATGCATGATGTGGCAGAGAGGAGGATGTCCCTGGAAGCAGCGGGGAGGTATAGAGCATTGCTGGAGCTCTGACTGAGGATAGTAAAGTCATTCTTAGGAGGAAGAGTGACCCGGACATGGAGGGCTGTGCATGCCTGAGCCCCTGTGTGTTCCCCCGTGTGTGTTCACCTGTGCATGTAGTACTCACAACCATGGAGGTGAAGACTGTCCTCCAAGACACTGGAGCGAGCCCTGCTGTCACAGAGCTCTTCCTGAAGACTCAGTGCATGGGCCTATGTGTCTGGTGGCACAGAGGGCGCCCCCTAGAGGGTGGACTCACCAGTCTCTCAGGGTTCCTGAAGATCTCCCTGGCTTCCTCGAAGGAACACTGCTCCTCCTTGCACTCTCTCTCCAGGGAGCCTGACCTCAGCTCCTCCAGGAACGAGTTGGCACGCCTTTGCCTGTGTAAGACGCTTTGGGCTTCCTCCTGGGTGATGAAGACTGAGAAATGGAGTTCCATGAAGCAGTCACAACGTGCCACGCCAAGAGGGCATGGAAACTACCCACACCGGTCTCGTCCCACTCAGTAACAGGGGTAAAGGATTTCTGCCTACAGGCCTGGCTGCATTTGAAACAGGAGTGCTTTCTTATGGCTGGCTGGTGACAAACTTTATATACAAGGATAAGGCAATATGTTCATTAAATTGTAATTTAGCACACTCGTGCCTTTTGACCTGGTCACTTAACTTCCAGGAATTTATCCTAAGGAAATACTCAGAGGCATGCAAAAGAACCTAGCCACGAAAAAACTATTGCTAATAACCATCCATGCTGCCAGGAAACAGAATGCTTAAGAAGATGGGATATTAAGTGAAAAAGAAAATAAGACAATATCTACTGTATATTTTTTTGTAAATAAAAATGTACATATGATCAAATGTAATTGATTGAAAGAACGTACATAAACATTAACTTTGGGGATTAATGACTATTCTGTTCCAAAATGTGTACAATTGACATGTGTAACTTCTATTATCGAAATATGCATCCACTATGTGACTGGCACCTACAGCCTTTCATCAAGAGCTGCTGAATGAGCAAGCTGGAGGACCTATGGGGAAGGAAGGTCCTAGGGGAGGTGCATTTGAGAGAGGCCAGGCAGTAGGGACAGGCTTGGCTCGGGTGGGGGTGAGCTGTGGAGAGGCAGAGGTTGCTGAGACAACATGAGAGGGGCCGAGGGTGGTCTGACTGAGGGTGGCAAGTGGAGAGGGGTTGGGCATCCCTTGTCTCCGCTGAAAGCCCAATAGTCCCATTTGCTGCTCACTGGGCCTATTCTTCCCAGCTCTCCTGAAACTCGGGTTACTTCCCAATGTGGTCAGTTCTCTCCTCTTAACTAACTCATCTAAACCCTTTTTTGCTTTGCCACCAACCTTTCTCTCTCTTCAAGATCACACACTTGAAGGAAAATTTCTCACATTCCACCAAGGTTCTTACACTGACTCTTATATCCATCATAAGCAAAAACCACCGTGACTCTCCCAGCCTCCTCAAGGACCTTTCTTGGTGGCTGGAGACCTAATCACTGTCTCCTTCTCGACACTCCCTCCCCCGGCCAACTAAGGCTTGGCCTCCTGGTCTTCCTCCCACCTCTCTATACGCCCCCTCCAGCCCTCTTTGCTACTGGCGTTGAGTTTTGGTATCCTTCAGGTTTTGGTCTTTGTACTGTAAAGATTCTTTGAGCCCCTTCACTCCAATTCTGGATTCAGCTCTCCCTCCATATACCAGAACCTCTACTTTATTTCTCCTGAGAAGTGTGTCTGAACCCCAGATCTCTGTGTCCACCTTCCCTGTAGACTGAGTGACCCACACGTATAAGCAGCACGTGTAGGCCCACTTCCCTCATCTCTGCCCCTGCTGTGTCTACTTCTCCTGTCCAAATCCCGTGTCGGTGCACAGTCCCACCCGCCTCCCAGGCCTGGCTGTCTGAGGCAGCTGACCCTCACAGCCCACTCCGCAGCTGCCGCCTTGCAGATTTGCCCTCTTCACTGCTGCAACGCTGCCTGATCTGAACAGGTCCAGCCCCTCTGGGCCCTTCCGGAGCACCTGCCTGCTGCCAGAGGGGCAGAGCAGCTTCGTGCCTCTTCCCTGCCTCCCCCAGTGACCCCTCGTGGACTGCAGGTAGCTGGTGCCCCCATTTTGCTGATGAGAGAAAAAGATGGGTGAGGTTTAGAACTCACCCAAAGCCACACAGGGTGGGGTGATGGGACTAGTTTGAACATCTTGAATTTGAGGATTCATTGGAATGCCCAGGCAGACATGGGATCTGCACCCCAGGAGAGGGCTTGGTGATGGAGGTGAGGATGTTGAGGTTGGTGACAGTTATGCAGGGGTTGAAGTCAAGGGCGTGGATGAGGCCAGGAAAGTCCATGGAGCCCTTGGCGAGGTCCCCCTGGGTGAGTGACCCCGGCGGCGAGCAGGGTGTGTAGGGTGAGACGAGGAAAGCGGAACAAAGCACCGAGGGCAGAAACCAAGTGGGGGAAGGTGTCCTGGGGGAAAGATGAACCGGAGATGGGCTTTGGAGAGGCCCAGGCTTCCAAATAGAAAGGGTGGGGTGTCTGTGCTGCATCCCCGCAGGTTCCCAGGAAAGCACCGCAGGTTCCCCAAAATGTCTGAAAAATAATTCTGCCAAAGTCTGTACCAGCAACAATAGTCGTTCCGCCAACGCCCAGCAAATACCTGGGCGCTGTTTGCTTTCTGAAGGAAAGCAGATCACACTGGAGCCAGCAAACGCTCCCAGTGAACAGGAGTGTCCCTGTAAACAGGAACGAAGGTGAGGTTTGGGAGGCTTGGCTGCCAACAGCCTGCTGCCCTTCTCACAGGGTTTATAGGGAAACCTCATCCACCCTCCTCCAGCACCCCAACATACCTGCAGCGCCTGCGGCCGGAGGCCCCTGCAGGCCCAGCAGAAAGCAGAGGAGGGCCAGCCCACCAGGCTGGGGAAACATGGTGAGGTCCATGGTGTCATTCCCTGTGTGTTGACATTCCACTTAGGGAGGTGAGCAAAGTTCTCAAATTGCCCAGAGGCGTGGGGGAGGGAGACCTAGCCTCCCAAACATTCTGTGCCAAAGGCCTGCTGGAGGGGAAATCAGAGACAGAAAGACAGGGCCAGGAGTCCAGGTATAAATAGCGTGGCTGAGTCTCTGAAGCAGAGGTTCCTTTTCTGAAATATAGGGTTAGGGTGTGCGTATGGCATGTGGATGAAAAGGAGCCACATGCTAACCTGACAAGCTCAGGGAGGCCCGAGTGGCGGCTTTGCTGACTCGGAGATCTAAAATAACCACAAAGGATGGTCTGAAATGAAAACTTTTTAACTAAAAGCAGTTAATGGCAGGTAGTCATGTCTTAGGCCAGCATCTTCCCTGACAAAAGGTCAATCTTTACCTTAACTGAGCCTGCCTATTGTCTTTTTACTTTGATAACATATCTATGTTATCATATATCTGTGATAACATATCTTTGGAACGTCAAAGTAATTTTCTTTTTTCTGGACCCCCTCAAAGCAGACACTACTCTGTGGAGACCACAGATCCCCTCATTGTTATTGAGTTAATTGTTGACTATTAACTATCCTGTACCCACCTTCATAAAAGATGTATATATGTATCATTTTACTTGTTATCCAGTTCCAGAGTTTTCCCTGATTTGCTTTCTCCCAACTCCCTAATCTATCAACAGTGGATATCATGTAACTCACCTGCGTCTTCTCTTTTAATTGTAATATATAAAATAAGGTGCAAAACTGCCATTCTCTGGAGCATTATCTCAACCCATTGAGATTTTGCTTTCCGAGAGTTGTCGACAATTTGGTTCAAATAAACTCACAGAAATTCTCTATAGATTTGAATATTTCTTACGTTGAGAGGCATAAGCATCTCAAATGCAATTCAGGATTTTGAAGCTTGTAGGACTTGTTACTGCAATTGGGAAAACTGCAGTGAAAACCATAGCCCATGGTTATATACCTAGTAAAAGGAGAGCATATTTTGGGTGTGAATGTTAATGTTTTGAAGAGAGCCACAGAGGCGGCGATGGGTCTGTCCTTACCTTGGAGGCCTGGTTTCTTAGGGGAGCCAGAGAGACTGGTGAAGTACCAGGAAAGGGGCATCTGTCTCTAGTTGAGGTCACAACTCTGTTGCGGTTACAGGTGGCTTCCCCGGTGCCCCTGGCATCCAGGTCTTGTCTTTCCCTTTCCTCCTGGTCCCAGGGAACAGATAGGGCACCTACCTGTCCTGGGCTGCCAGGAAGGGAACAAGGTTCTCAGGATGCCAGACTTTCTGTGCTGAAACTGGGACCATCCTGGGCCCACTGGGACGCTTGGTTACCCTGGCAAGGCTCACATGGGCAGCAGCCTCTAGAGGGCCTGGGCTGATTCTCTGGAAATCATATCCTTTCTGTGCATGGGTGGAGACTGGGGACACCAGCTCTGCTTATTTCCAGTAGGGTCCCAGCCCTACTCCCCAAATGGAAGAATTGGTCCTTAGAGATGTTTAATGATCACCTCTGGAATTTTTAATAATTGCTTAATTGATTAGGAATTTAATTATATAGGAATTTATTTGTGGAGAAGGTAGGGAGGAGGAAAATGCAGTTTAGCATTTGACTGCTCCTCCCAGCCACAACCCTTTTTGGAGCTATCTCTGTCCTTGACTTTCTTTGGATTCTTCTCCTTAAGGGTATGGCTAAACCTATAAAACCACCTGAACTTGGTATAAGGGATACTTTTTTAAAACTGCAAGTCAATTTCTTTGTTATTCATCAACCCAAGTATTTTATTTCTTCCTGATTAATTTTAACATTTTGCATTCTTTAAAAAATTCCTATTTTGTTCTCAAATGTGTTGACAAAACATTGTTCATAATTGTTCTCTCATTTTAAAGCCTCTATTTGCTGAAAAGTTTTTCAGGTTTTTTTTTTCTATCAATTGCTGTATTTTATTATTTTTCAAAAAATATGGTTATTATTTTATTGATTTGTTTTGATTTTATTATTTTCTTCTCTGAATTGAACTAATTCCTCCTTTATACTTTCTTTAGGATATATTGGTCTTACTTTTAGCTTCTTTAAATAGTAAACTCATTAATTTTGTCATGTAAAATATTAAATGCAGCGAGGCTATCAATGCTACTCTAAGATATGCTTTAGCTGCACTCGTAAGCTCTCATATGCACAATTCTGTCTAGTCCTACATATATCAGAATTTCCAATGACATTTCTTTGCTAACTTTTTAACCTTTTTTTTTCATTGTTTTGTAAATATTTTGTGTGTATTCCATGTGTGTCGGAAAATAATGCATATTTTTGTACTTTTAGGGCCAAATGGGTGTTAATTCCTGTGAGAGATAATTAATTTTTCACCCATGATTGCTGATCTTTGCTCCCTATATTTTGAGCAAATTATTAGACGCTTATAAGTTCTAAATTTCATTTCATGTGTTATCGACATTGCTATCCCAGCATCTTTTTTTTTTTTTTTTTTTTTTATCCTCACCCGAGGATATTTTCCATTTTTTTGTACAGATAGAGTGGGAGGGAGAGAGAGAGGAAGAGAGAGAGAGAGAGAAACATCGACGTGAAGGGACACATCAAGTGGCTGCCACCCGCACGACCAACCAGGGCCGGGGACAAACTGCAACCGAAGTACGTGCCCTTAGCGGGAACCGAACCCGGGTCTCTCCAGACCGCAGGCCGACGCTCTTACTGCTGAGCCAAACCAGCCAGAGCTCCCAGCATCTTTTTGGTTAGAGTTTGTCTGTTATATCTTTTTCTTTTATTTTCAACCTTTGTATAATTTTGTTTTGTGATCTCTCTTAGCAGTTGTTACATCCAACTTGATACTCTTTCCATAGGTCAGTTTAGCATAATCACACTTGTTATGACTGAGGAATATTGGACTTATTTCTTCCTTCCCCTTTTGTGTTCCTGTTCTTCATGATTTTCCCTTTCTGCACTTTACTCTTGTACTGGATTGACAATCCTTTCTTCTCTGCCTTTCTGGTTTAAAAGTTATCAATTACATTCTTGTTCTGGCATGGTAATTTTATAGTTCTTTTGTTACCTTTACATTGACGACACACATAAGCTTGCTTTTGCTCTATCTTGATCTCTTTCTGACAAAGTAAAGTGTATGGAACACATCTAGGCCACGCTCACTGCCTGCGGCATGTGTGTTTGAACATGTGCTTGCCATACTGCGAGTAGATGAACAGGACAGAACACTGCAGTGCTGGGAACCTAAGACACAAGCAATTCTGTGCCTTGGCAGATGAAGGCAACAGCAAGAGTTGCTGATATTTATTCAAACTCCATCCATATAATAAAGAACTCTGATTTTAAATTTTCATTTACATCAGCAGGAAAGAAAACAGTGACCAACACATGAGGTTTTAAAGTGCCTTTATGAGGAAGAGATCACAAAAAATGGTGGACAATCCCAGGCTGAGATGGCAGGAATGGTGTCTGAACAATCAATATATTAATTAAATTATGAGACACATCATTTTTCAAATAACTTATACACCAGAAGAAAAGCTGCCAAGTCTTGCACATTTACTATTTTATTACCACACTCCAGAAGGCTCTGGCTGGCGATGATGGCCTTGCATGTCGTGGTGGTGGGCAGAGGAAACCTGTGGGCCTCAAGCCACAGCACGGCCTGGGGCTCAGGGGGGGCTGTAAAGTGACACATTTCCAGCAGCATGGAGGCTATAAATACATCCCTTACATTGGATACATATGTACACACATCAACATATATACACACATATAAAAATATCTACCCCAACTGGACACAGAGAGTGTTTCCAAAGAAGAGAATTTGTTTCTGAAACACACAAATAAAGGTAAAACAGAAGAGTTCTTTCCAGTTCTGCTTTGATTGGAATAAAATAAACTCTATACCTTTAAATTTCTGTATTTCAGGTGATTTTATACAGTACGCGCAGGGTGCACTCCGTATGCAGGTGGAGGAGGTTGGAAGGCAGGCAGAGGCGAGCTGAGCTCGGATTTCCACTAAGCTACGTGTGACATCATTGGTTCAGATGATACCCTGCAAAAACTCATCTTTATGTATTCTTTAAAAACAATTTAAAAAATCCTAATTCAGTGAAGCATGTTAAAAAAATCAAGAGTCCCCACTTTTTTTTTTTGTAGAAAAGAAGGTTAGTATTTTAAATTATAGTTGAAATGTCCTTTTGAAAATTAACTACACAGGTAAAGGAATTTCCTTGGTTTCTAACTGCTTTCATTTGTAGAAATGCTGCCTGATTTTATCGAGGGACGTACTTTCATTCACCTGTCACCAGGTGGGCTTCAGAGCGGGCTGTCAATTTCCACGAGAGAGTCCCCCAAATCATTCAGCGGCATATACAACGTGCTGCAATGTAAACCCCAGTAACAAAAAAATAGTTTTATATCAAATGCTGTATCAAATTGTCATTTCATGTAAACACAGTGATTCTTGGTAAAGATTAGAGGCCAAAGTACCACAAAAAAATGGCCGTGGGATTAGTCCCTGCTTTAAAAAAAATTTGTAAAAGACAAAATCGTCCCCCCGCCCCCTCTCTCTTCAAGCTGTCGGGTCAGTGAATCGTCCCGCCTTTGGAAGCAGTCCCATGGTATGCACATTCCTGCAGACAGCACCAGGCCAGAAACGCCAGAAACCAAAGCAGAGTGGTTGGGACCGGCTCCGCCCCGGCTGCCTGGCAGAGGCCCGAAGGGGTGGCCCCGCCTCGGCGCCCTCCTGCACAGGTAGTCTGTTGGCCTGCAGCCCCCGTCCATTTCGACTTTCCGAGGAAGCCTGGTGCACTGGTCTTCCCGTGGGAACTGGTTTCTGTGCCCCGGGAGGGGATCCTGGCATGGAGGCTGGAGGGCAGAGTCTTCCTGAACCTTTCCTCGGAACGCCCCATGTCCTGCTCCGCAAGGTTCTCTGGGCAGCGGGCAGCTCCTCGCTCGGGTCTTG